TGAAGGATATGTACACACAGAACAGGAAACTTCTGTTTGACGTGAAACACCCACAGTGACTCACCAGAGGCGGAGAAGGATCAGCACATCCTAAAAGAGATTGAATTAAAAAAAGATGCTCCAAGTGATATCAGATAAGTCACTACATGCCCTAGGTGTCTATTACGAGCCAAGAATTGATGGAGCGAAGAATTTAACACTCACAAAGTTATAAAACATGATATTAGGAAATCACTGAACGTGTGACATCAAGTCTCTGCCACTTACAGGAAATGGGACCCATGACTGAACTTTATTAATCCCTGGTTTTAAATAGCAGCAGACTACAAAAGCACAATTGTCTCAGGCGTTACAGGCAAAAGGGAATGAATGATCTAATTTCAACAGGATAACCAGTGTCACCAGATGTTCCAGTTAGATTTGGCAACAAACTCCTCTGACCAAGCACTAGTTTAATCAACTGTCAGTTACAGAGAATAAGCAATAAGATCGCCACACCTTGCAATTTCATAGCTATCTTCTTGCTTTTCAAAGACCGCACCTTCAGGCAAGTGTTTAAGCACTAATTAAAAATGTACCTCAGGTTTTGTTACACAAGGACTCCCTAAATATTACACTAGATAATACTATGCTGTCATATTTTGAATTAAAACACTTAAAGGAATACCCTAAAACAATCATTTGTATATCAGGTGATCACCCTCATTTTGTCATTAATTCTGACAAAAGCTTCAAATCCAGTCTTATGCTCGGTGCTTCCTAGACACATGCATTTTCACTAAAACCTCTCTATTTAAAACACTTAACAGTCTCATAAGTTGCACGTCTAGGCAAGAACATGCATTTGAACTGTGTTTGGGAAATACTGAGCATGCGACTGGCTAATCGAGACTCGGGTTATGCTGTAGGAGTCATGTGAGATTTGTTATTTTGATATGGTTTTGCCCTTGCTGAATGCAGCTGCACTCTACTTCAAATGATCAAGAATGTTCTCAGGTTTTTGGATTCTTTGTTAACCACAGGAGCATGGGAAAAAACACAAAGTTTTATTCACAAATTGAAGGTCACACTGAAATACAAATAGTAATTTCAGGGGTGAGGTGTTGCTTTAAAAACATAATGTCATGGAGCCTCAGACACCTGCTGGCAGCACTGATAATGCACCCAGACATGACAACTTGAAAGAAAAGTCTGTTTTATCACATCATGTTTTTGCCTTCCTGTCTTGATTCTGTATTTCAGTTACATGCAGTCATCATATGCTGGTAATAATCCAGGAGAACTGTGTCATGAAAAGACTGTTTCCCGCTGGATTTTGAGCCATTGTGCCCAATGACCCGATGGTGTATTTAAAGGGGAGTCAACTAGGCAAAAAATGATATATCCAAACCAGAAACACTGATGGAAATGTTTTAAGATTGAACTAATATTTTGGTGTTAAATGAATGAGGAGGAACAGACTGCTGGTTTTCACTGCAGCTGGTAGTGATTCAGCATCTTTCCCAGGACTTGTCAGTATGCTTGCTGCCATGACACCATGAGGCTGGACCTTTCCGGTTAAAGGACATGCAGTGTGATGGGTTACTGTGTGTCCCTGCAGCATCCCAGGAGTCACTGATTTGATCTGAAAGGCTCAGAGAGCAAAAGAATATGACTGTGACACCTTGTCTCTGATTTTTAGCATCTGTACTCTGTGCTTTAATACAGGCCTCAAGGCAGATGCTGAATCTATGCATTGTTTCCTACGTGACTACAAAATGAAATTACCTATAAAACTTTTTCCACGCAGAACACAGGTTTTCACGATGAAAAGCTGCCTGTACGCCTACACAGAATACAGCCCTCTGCACGTCAGTTGTTATTATCTTAATACCACTGTGAATACAATAATTCCCTGAAGGATAATATAATTCTTAAACAGGCACGGGAAAATGCCATGAATTTTCACCACAGCGTGCAAAAACAGGCTGACTGCGCTCATACTGCCGGCTGAATGCCTGACTTTGCACCCACTCAACGGCTCCGTTTCCACTGTGGCTTCTGAAAAAGCACCTGGGCCTCCCCACATGGTGGCAGATGGAAGGGCAACCACACACCCACTCAGGGCTGGAGGCTCTGCTCTGTGGGGCCAAACATAACAATAACCCACGGGCTGGTCAGCGCTCATGTGCTGCTCTGCTTTCCATGAGGCTGCAATGTTGAATCCAACGTTTTCCATGGTCATGGCCAATGAAACCTCTGTCCAGTACCCTCTGTGAGTTTACAGAGAATTAATTAGTGCAAAGTGGGCACTAATAGAGTGCCAAGAGGAGCAACCAGACAAAACAATATCTCTATTAAACTGCATTGTTTATAGAAAATTCCTGTGTTTTTCCAATTTTCAACACATTAAAATTACTTACATAGAAAAGCATATAATAAAACAGCGGCCACTGCTTTTATTCAGGTCATTACAGTATGAGGATGCACTTGCAAAGGCTTGAAAATTGAGGCAAGTAGCCCAGTAATATAATATAACTGTGATGTACAGTAGTTAAAGGACTCAAACTTGCAGAACTGTTGGTATTAATAAAAAATATTTCTAACACATTTAGGTGCAATCCATTGTGTGCTTCAGTGTAAAGCATAGTCTTTAATTAATTTATCTTGTGTTGAGTCTCCTTTTATGGGGTGGATATCATCTGTCTGAATTATTGCAGGCAAGACAGATATAAATGATGTTGCAGTTCAGAGTGACTGACAGTATTCTCCCTCCCTCTGCTGGCCACATGCCGACAGTGCTGTGGTCTGTGGGCCATCTGATGCATTGCCCCTGACACAAAATGTTATTAATGCTGTCACAGATTTATTTTTTCTTAATGGAATCAATTTAAAAAAAATAATTGAATTACTCTTACAACAATTACATTTGATTGTTTAAGGATATAATACAGTACTGACTTGTACGGATCAGTGCAATTGTAATATTACCAGCCTCACACTCATCATTAATACTAAAAGATGCAAAAACAAATTGTAATTTTTGTGTCCCATTATTGTCTTTAAATAAACAAGACTGAGAAATCTGAACAAAATTCTCTTTTTCTTTAAAAACTAGGCCTATATTTAACCTGATCTTTGTTGTGCAACAAGCTAAACACACTTCCAATGAAGGCTGAAATCTTTTTTTTCCCCACCAGAGGCAATTATAAAACAGCATTTGATGACACAAACCAAATTCAATGAATGTGATTAAAGGTCAGATAAAGTAAGGTACTGCAAAAATGAATTACCAGGCAACAATGAAAGTGTTTGCTTATTATTATGACTGGTTCAATAGTTTGTCTATAAAATGAAATAGTATTTGTATTCCGAGAAGAAGAAAACAGAGGTAAACCACAGTCTAACAAAATAACAGAAGAACTGACCTTGAAAAAAACATCTAAATACTGCTAATCAGGGACAAACTTCTTAACACCATAGCAATTATTTGCTGTGAAGCTCCCTGAATGTATTACATTGAATCAAATATACATTTTGGAGTGGATATGCTCATGTATATTTAGCCCAGTGTCATTATAAAACAATGTTCAGACTCTCTTATATAAACAGTCGTTAGATGTTGACCTGAATCAATGTGTGGCAATGAGTAAAACAGACTGTGACTTGAGCAGAAGTCCAGAGAGCTCTGTGGAAAATCCCAAGATAATTTACTATTTCAGTCACTTGTGAAGCAAGAAGTTGAAGGGGTAAATTATTGACTACAATAGTGTCTGGAAAAAAACAACAGAGACCAGGTCTCAGCATGGTTCATACAATGGATGGAAATTTTGAAGTTATTTTTAAGTTATTGCATGTCAAGACAAGACTTTTCTGTTGGTCAGTAGGTGAGTTTTGAATGAATTTAAAACAAATTTCATTCAGCAGCTTCTTCAGTTTTACCAAGTTCAAACTCACAGATACACTAACCCGTTGAGCAGCAGTAGAAAAAATATCTCAACTTAAGCTACACTCACTAGCATTTTGTTTGTTTATTTGATTGGTTGGTTTTTTTGGGACCTTTCAGCCACATCTCACAGGCTTCCTCAGTGTTTGCACAACTGAGCTGAGCTGTGAAATGCAGTTAAAAGCTCCTATAAAAGATGCTAAGTGGACCTTTTATTTTATTTTATTTTTTATTATATTTTTATTTTTTCATTTTTTTATTGCAGTTTATTGTATTATGTCATATTATTTTTATTATTATTATTTTATTTTATTTCATTTATTGTCTCGTTTTTTTCTGGTCAAACTGTAATTTCAATGTCAGAAAAAAGTAGAAAAGAAACATGGAAATATCGCCAAAAAATACTGACCAAAAAAAAATGGATTTTAGTTATTTGATTAAAAAAATAAAAGGAGCTCCATCTTTTGTATATTTAGTTTAATTGTATGTATTTCCGGGGTATTAGTGCAGAGATGTTGACTATGACAAGATAGAAATCCGCTACGGAAGTCATGGCCGCTACATCAAAACTTCGTAAATGGTGCGACATTTATCTGTGAATTATACGGAAGCGTAGGGAGGCGCATCACATCCACTAAATAAATTAAAAAAAATCGACACATTATCTTGTAATTATAAGATCTTATCTCGAAATTACGAGATAATGTGTTGTTGTTGTTGTTTTTTATTCAGTTAATGTAATGGGCTTCCGTAGAAGCTTCTGTTGAAGCGCGTTGCATTCACTAAATAAATTATTTACATTATCTCGTAGATCCTTTCGTAGTCTACAGATATAATGTTTTTATTCTAAAAAACGTTGACCGGAAGTACCGCCCTTGTGTTTCTCAGTAAACTGATTTTACAAAACAGCTAACGTTACAGTTAACGTTATTACGGTATCAGCGAAAGACCTTATTATAGTACGACATCAGGATTTCGTAATTACGAGATCTCATTTCACAATTTCGAGATCTTATCTCTTATCTCTCTTATCTAGTCCGTAAAATACAGTTTCTGACTAACACCGGAAGTGCTCTTGTTTATCGCCAAAACGGAAGTCAAGGGGATTGTCCTCTCGCTTAGCCATGTTCATCTTTGTGTGTGTGAAGCCGACCGGCTTTTGGAGGACAGACAGGTAGGCGAGGTTATCACTCACCGGTTCATCCCATACAACCAATTTAACACCAAACCACATTAACCCGGGACGTTAGCTTCGACATTAAATGCTACATGTGATTATTTTGGTATGTTTTAGCTGGCTTCCGGTGTGTTTCCTGACCTTTCCGTTGTTATGCAAATAGTAAGTTAGCTACAATACATCAAGCTAACCGTTAACGTTTAGAAAACTTCACAGTGAGTTAACTGACTAAACTTCAGCAGCTGTTGTGTTTTTAAAGTGTTCAAGTGACGGATGGTTGAAACTGAAAGAGCCACTTTAGCTTTTCATCGAATTTATGAAAAGCAGGTGACCACAATGTATTTCTGCTTTTATGCTATTGTAGCCGCACTTTAGCTCATAGCTAGCTAGCTTATATCTATTTATAATGTAATGTAAGAGGCTGTTATTAAATGATAATGTTATTTTTGTGTTATCTTTAACCGAGTAGAAGCAGCACTGATGAAACCTTAAACAAGCAACGGTGTTATTGTACATATGGCCACTAGAGGGCACTCTGGTAACGTCACACATGTAAAGAACACTGGGTACCATTGTTTAGATAAATAAATAATGATTTATACATTTACTAATAAGTCATGAGATCAATTACCAGGGTATGTAACAAGTATTTCCAATTAGTTTCTATTCATTTATTTATTTAATTTGGTTTTTATTTGATGGGGATGATGCAATTTAACATAATTCCAGTACAGAGTATGGGACTGATGTGTTTCACAGAGAGTGTATAGCTATTGCTAGTTTTCAACTCTTGTCTCTAGTTGGGCTTTTACATGTAAACCTAAAATGTTATTAAGTATATACAGTCATCAATCACATATGTTATTGAGCCAGTAATACAAAGGGTCACAGGTGTCTCACTTTCTAAGAAGCTAATAGCAGGATTTATTAATTCACTTGTAATTATAAATGATTTTTTAAAATAACAATCCATGAAACCTTTAATTTAAAATGTCTAAAGGGTCTATTGGAGCTTTCATCTCATGAACTAAGAAGCTAAAACACTGGAGTAGGATGAACACAACCTGCCATCCCACATTTGTATTTATTAATACCTTAAAAACAGTGTTGGAAGGGTTACTTTTGAAATGTTATTACTTACAGATTACTAGTTACCCTATTTAAAGTCTAATAAGTAGTCTAAATATTTTAAGTATGTCATCAAAGTAATGGTACGTAGTACTCAAGGTGGGGGAAAAATCCATAAAGCATAGTATCACAGTATTTTTGTGGCAATATCATATCATCTCACAGTGCCATGTATTGATTTTTTATTACATAAATTAATGTAATATTTTGTAATGTAATTATATATAACAAGTTAACACTTCTTATAGGTGATCTATAAAACATCAGTAAATTATTTATTAAACATAAATGAAGGCAGCAGTAATAAATTAATATGTTACTCTTATCCTGTATGTCTGATGACAATATAACAAATAATAACTTTCCCTCTTCTTCTTTATAGGTAGGTCAGACAGACTCAACCACAACATGTAAGAGCCTCTCAAATACAGTACAACATTTTGAAGAACTCTGAGTGTTATAACCTTTGAAAAATAAATATATTAATATAAATACATTTTTGACTTTTAAAGGTCAGGGTTTAGATACCACATGTCACTGCCTGTGTCGGTGGGTGTCCTGTTGGTCGGCCTCCCGTACTCCATCTCTCTCGCTGCCCAGTGGCTTTACGGCTGGCCCAACAAGCCTGGATATAAGAAGTACATCGAAGCTCTGAAACCAAGGTAACTTGTAAAATACTGAGGATCTGTTCCTGTTTTTTTTTTTTTTTTTTTTTTTTTAACTTTATTTTTAGATTTTTGTTATAAAGGAACATAAATCTAACAGACAGGTCACCATGGGTAATACAATACAATTCTTGTGTTATCAGTAGTCAAATATGTTAAGGGTTACTTTTCTCAGTAGTCCTGTAAAAATGGAAAGATGTACAAAGAAATAATGGACCTGGCATCAATTTGGTGGGGATGGAGTCCAAAACATCCCAATCTCAGTCATTGTTGGCATTCACAGAAATTTAAAATGTCCAATGTCTTGTCACCTTTTTCTTACAGATTTGCTTGCAACTCTAGCGTAAGCCCTTTGAGCAACTCAGTCCAGGGTACAACAAAAAAATAAATAAATATAAAATAAAATACAATTATATATTCACTGGGTATACAGCATATATAAAAACAATTTAAATATGGTAGTACAATTAGACCACATGTGTAAAGACAAGGATGAAAATAGAGGCAATACCATGTTACATGTATAATGACCATTTTGACCAATACCTACGGAATTTCTCTTTGTTAAGTCTTAAAGAAAAGGTCAGTTTCTCCATGTCATACATTCCCTGTACTACTGCTCTCCACTCTCCTATTGTTGGTGGGTCCTTATCTAGCCATTTCTTAGTCAATGCTTTTTTACAAGCTACAAGCAATATCTTAAGAAGATACTTGTCCTGAGCACTTAATTCGGGTGGTATATTACCTAAATATATAGTGCCAAAACTATGATCGATCTCAAGTCACAGTATTAATTTTATTTGTAATACTATCTCTAGCCAATAGGTTTGTATCGCTGGGCAATTCCAAAATATGTGGAAATGATCAGCCATTAAGTTGTTACATTGTCTCCAGCAAATCCCACATTCTGGTCTACCATTCTGTAAATATTTTATTCTTGGAGTAATAAAGAATCTAATAATGTTCTTCCAAGCAAACTCTCGCCATTGGCCAGAGCTGGAGGTGGAGGATTGTATTTTGCATATTTTTTTTTTTACTCATTAAAAAGTTATTAATAACCTATTTCATGTTTGGCTTCTTCTTCAGGCGAATTTACTGTTTGACCAGAGCTATACTGGAAACTCTGAAATACCTGCAGTATGGGAGGCTCTACTTTCAGTGGAAGTCGTGGTACAAGAATGCCGAAAACCGTAAGCATTATGAAAAGGTATGTCATGTTTGTCTTCGCTTTCACTTCTTTACTTGATGAAAACTCTGCTGTGCGATACCTAAAAGTTGTGTCACACTTTTGTCTGTTTTGACTCTTCTAAGGGCATCACATTTGGCCGCCGAAGCAACAAGCTGGACTTGTACCACTCTCCAGATGTGGGCAGGTCTAAAGATGTGCCTGCACCGCTGGTGGTTTTCATCTACGGAGGTGCATGGGGCTCCGGAGACAGATCAATTTACTGTTTGCTGGCGAGGCAGATGGCTGAAGAACTGAGCGCAACTGTTGTTTGTCCTGATTACTTTACCTATCCAAAGGTAAGAGCTGTAGAACGACACACCGTATTGGATTAAAGATTGAAAAGAGTGTCGGTAGCTTGAATATGAACAGTACATCACAAAACTCTTTAAACTATAGGTAAGAATGATACTGCAGAAACTGAAATGGTAGATAAGAAATGTAATTATGAGTGTTACTGTGGTATCTGGACTGACTGCTGCCTTCATCTGATTGCCAGGGGAACGTGTTAGGGATGGTCCAGGATATTGCTGACTGCTTGGTTTGGGCTCAAGAGAGTGGGCACAAGTTCAACTTTGACAAAGTAAGAAATTTAAGTAAGAAATTTCTTCAAGTGTTCTTTGGAAACTGAGGCAAACTTCCAGACTGTTATGGTAAGACTGACCATGAAATCATATAAAGCTTGCACCTTGCACCTTAAAATGATCTGAATCTCACTTTACCAAAATCCCTTGTTATTCAGGAACATGTCTGACCTCAAATCATTTTCATACGACCTGTAGGGGCGCCTCATACGATTGTCAGAGCATGTCTATGATTCAGGGTTGTCTGCACACGACTCTCATCATGGCAGTGGCAGAGCAAGTGGCTAGGAGCTAACAGTGCTAACAGGGAGAACAGTGCTAACAAAGGCAACAGCGAGAACAGTGCTAACAGTGTCATCCTGCCGCAGGGTGGGAGTATAGTTTCACACCGTTATTATTCCTTGACTCAAAACTCTGCAGCTCAACTATGAAGCAGAACCAAGAGGAGAGAGCACGTCAGGCCAGTCTGAGCTGCTCTGCACTGACTTCCTGTTACAGTTAGAATCGATTTTAAGCTCCTCCTCCTTGTATACAAACCCCCACATGAACTGGGACTGAGCTACAATGCTAACTCCTTTGTTAACTATTTGCCTCCAAGAACACTGCTCATCTGCAGCTGGTTTATTGGAGGTTCCCAGCAACAGCCGGAAGAAGATCAGGGATGCAGCCTTTGTCAGTTATGTCCCAAAGCTATGGAGCACAATACCTGTAGATATCAGGGAAGCTAGCTCGCTAAATATTTTTAAAAGAAAATTAAAAATGTATCTGCTCACTTTAGCCTTTAACTAGCTCTGACTTTCCTGATTCAGGTCTGACACTCTTTTAAAATCTGACTTGATTTGATGATTTATAGTTTTACAGCTCTATGATTTTATGAATCAGATCAGATCAGATGTTATAATTATCAGCGCTAACCGCCCCTAACCGCTGCACGAGCTCAGTGCAGAGTGGCAGAAATTAGCCAGCCACACAGAGGGACTCACATGCACGAACATGCACAGGCAGCATGACCGCCTACCACACCAAAGAATAGAGAAGTTTGGATTATAGCACACACACAGAGGGAGGCTGACTTCATTCTCTGCTCAGTGTCACCATTACTCCAAGAATCTTTACATAGCATATAGTCATTTGCTGCCATATTATTGCTCTGATGTCGTAAACAGAACCTTTAAGCTCTCACTTTAAGCTCATATCATGTATAAATTCACAAACATATTTATTTTTCAGTTTGAGAAGCACTGATTTAAACTGTTTGTGATTTATCAACAAATAAAGATAATGATGTTTTGCTGCGGAGAACTGATGCGCATTCACCCAGTGTTCATTATTACACACGTTGTTGTCTTGTTTTGCTGTCTTGTAGGACAACATAGTACTAATTGGCCACTCAGCGGGTGCACATTTGTGTGCACTGACCACACTGTTTCTCATTGATGCAAGAGAGGAGCTTTTCATAGAGGCCAGCAAGCAGAGGGACATCACACTGGCCATCAGAGGAGTCATTGGTGAGGACAGTCAGAGTTGCAGCCATGTTTTATGCTCAAGTAAACTGAACTTTAATAACTGTTTGTGTGCCACTAAGATAATTTTGGGGCTGCTAAATGTTTTTATTTCTATGATCTGAAGACAGCGAGGTTTTTCAAACAGTTCTCTCATGTTTCCTGGACAGGTCTGAGCGGCGTGTACAACATCATGGACCATTATGAGCACGAGCAGAAGCGAGCGGTCGAATATGTCTCCACCATGCACAAAGCCATGAACGGGGTGGAGAACTTCCCGTACTACTCACCAACACACATGCTGAACAAGATGAGCCAGGACACACTCAATAAGTGAGACAAAAGGATTTAACGACAATATCTAATAAACTTGTTGCATGTATTATTCATTTCACCCACACCTCTTGTTTTAATCTCTCCCAGAGTGCCTCCATTCGCTCTGCTCCATGGCACTGATGACATTATCGTTCCTGTGGAGTCTTCCACAAAGTTCTATGACCTCCTCACGTCGCTGTCCATCAAGGTGTCACTCTACCTGCTGCCCAGGGTCGACCACACTGAGGTTGTCACCGACCTCATGGCGCCAGAGCGGCGCTTCTACCACCCCATCTACAGCTGCATCAAACAGGAGTACAGGAAACTGTTGGGGACCTGCTGACGTCCCGTCAGATCATCAGAAACACATCCATTTATCGCTAATACTTTGCTGATCGTGCCATACACACACTTTGTTTACACTCTCTAATACCTCAGAATGAAGCCTTGATTTTAACTTTGTGATTCCATAATTATGATTTATACTTTGAACAGATTGTAATCGAGTGAATCCAGGAGTTGCATCTGATTGATTTTCTATCTGCATTCCTTAAAAAAAACATTTCTCAGTGGACTCTCATCTGGGTAAAATTGTTCTAATAATAACTCTGATATATTATCCAGTTTGCAGTGAAGTCAAATATGAAGTGAAATCAATCATGGAGCAAAAACAGTATTATGAAAAACAAGTAAAGCACAACCATCCATCGTATCAAAATGGGCCTCGTTACAATCTGTACCTCTGTTTTGAGACCAACTTTGTCCTGAAGACATCACAGCGTTTTGATTCATTAATCTGCATGCTTGCATTAAATTAAACTCGATTTATTGTAATATGTTTTCTTGATTAACTACTGATCATACGCATTAAACCCATCTGAAGGAACTTTTATATTTGTTCGCCTTTGTCTTCATTACATTGTAAATGCTTTATATATGAAAGTACAGTGTGTTTTTTATAACCACATGCAGCAGTGTACTGCGCTCACACACACCCCTTCCATATATTAATCATATAGCATCAGTATTCTAATAATGAGGCAACAAAAACAAAAAATACAGTCTTGAAGCAGGAGATATTATGCAAGAGGACATGCACAATATGGACATATATTCAAATATATGCAACATTAATATGAGCATTTAATTAAATTTTACAAAATAAATGAAAGATTATTCTATGGCCACACTCTGCTGCAGGGTCTGGGCATTTAAATTGGAAATTACAATATTTATAGTATTTCTTTAAGAGATTACAATGTGATTGTGATGCCCTTATATAGGCTACATATTAATTTGATTCTATCACCACCTTTTAGGGATTGTATGAAAATTATTGGGTTCAAGGAGGGGGGCAGAATCTGCCGTCAAATTTTTATTTAAAAAAAAAAAAAAAAAAAAAAGCAAGACCTTCCCCGACTTTATTGATATATTTGAACCCTCTCTTTTGATTTAGAAAAAAAACTGCCATACCCTCCCCTTAATATATCAAAACATATTTATGGCAAACAACTGAAGCTGCAGAAATTTCATCAACCTGCAGAGCAAAGTTCACAAACATGTTTGCAGTAAACCATATTCACTCTGACAAAGTCTAAATCTTCTCTGTGACAGACTCAGCTTAGAGTCTGACTCCTGACAGCTCAGTTGGAAGGTTGTAGGTTCAAATCCCACACGTACTCTTTGTATTTCCTCATGTCAACCTTCAGAGGGCTGTTTCATAAAGGTGTCTCTTGCTGTGAAAAGCCTTTCATGCAGAACATTTTGATCAAAAATAAATGACTCTGAACCTGAAAAGTTGGTTCACAGCTGGAACCAAAAAATAGCAGGTTTTCCTCGACCCTAAAGTGTGAAATGACGCTGAGGTGTGTCATATTCTACAGGTTGGAAAGAGAGGATGGTGAATCTAACAATGGAGAAGTCAAGTGAGAAACCGCCAGACAAAAAGAGCGTGCAACAAATATCTTTTATGACAGATCACAAGTTTGCAGGTAGTTAGGGCGATCCGTGATTTTGCTACGACTGTTTACTGTTGTACTGTAGTGCTTGGGCAACAACCTCTGTTATTGAAACATCCTTGATCACAACAGTTCTGCACATAAGTGGTGGAAAAGCAGGCTGGTTCGCAAGATGGCACCAAAGTTCCAAGAGTCCTGAATGAACCCAGTTCAAGAACCAAGGCTAATTCAGTGGAAACGATGGGTAGGCCTATCTGGTGGGTATCAGAGCTAATCAGAGTCTGAATTCATCAAGCCTCAGAGGGGCCGATTGGACAGACGTTTCACCAGAGTGACATGTTTGGTTCCTTCTTTTGGCAGAAGACTAAAAGCTTTTTATCAACTTTCCAAACTTGTGAAGTGACTCACATCTCAGCTGAGATGTGTCAGAGCTGCAGAGGAGTTTCAACCTGTCAGCAGCTCCTCATGGAGCTCACACTGATGTTCTGGGAACTCTTGATGGCATTTAACTTATTCAAAGATATTTCGAACAAAAGGCAGAATAATATTAATATTACTTTTTTAACCATAACTTTTGAGTGAAGAGCTAAATTTGATTGGACAATTAAAGTCCCTTTCAGGAATTGTTGCCCCTTGAAAAGCCTTTAAACCACTGCAGATAATCAGTGGCGTGAAGTAACTGGTCACTAGTTATGAAGCACACACACCATTGGAAGTGTATTTGTATCTTATTGCTGCTTTTATATTTGAAAGGCAGGACTGCTTGCTCAGCTTGCAGATACGCTCAGCTTATGGGTTTTGACATATTTAGCACCTCAACTAGCCACCGTATATCACATTGTCTCATCACATGATGAAATAGAGACTTGACACTGGACGGCATCATCAGACCATGCATTTTCCCCAGCAATCACTATAGCATATCTTTATGTGACAAAAATGTTAAGGCAAAGAAGTAATTATTCATTTCATTGAATATTTTTTAATATTTATAGTTTTTATAGTTAATGTAGAATAAGCATATCATTTTGACAGAGATGGGTTTTGCCTTTCTGGAGGCAGGTAGGAAATGGCACCGTTTCTAATTTAAAGTGAGATCTTCTTTGAATACAGGCTTATTTCTGAGGTGGCAATCTGAATCACTCACTCACTCACTCACTCACTCACTCACTCACTAGGGCTCAATCTCTGCCAGACACAACCTGTGCGTTCCAATATCCATACTACCAAACTATATTGTATGCCAGAAAAAGATTCAGTATACTAAAAATGATTTTGCAGTATGCCAACCAGCATGCTTTTCTGGCTATTCTTACCCACAATCCTCTGCCAGGCGGATGATATGTCACATCGACTGAGCTGCAAATAGATGACAGCTGCTTGACAGCTGATTGACAGGTGTCAGAAGTCCCAAAATAATCATAAATATCACAAACAACAATTTTAACAGTTGTCCAATAGGGCTGTCGGCTGTATATTAACCTGACTTCTGCACAACACAACTGATGGTCCCAACCCCATTGATAAAGCAAGAAATTCCACTAATTAACCCTGATAAGGCACACCTGTGAAGTGGAAACCATTTCAGGTGACTACCTCTTGAAGCTCATAGAGAGAATGCCAAGAGTGTGCAAAGCAGTAATCAGAGCAAAGGGTGGCTATTTTGAAGAAACTAGAATATAAAACATGTTTTCAGTTATTTCACCTTTTTTTGTTAAGTACATAACTCCACATGTGTTCATTCATAGTTTTGATGCCTTCAGTGAGAATCTACAATGTAAATAGTCATGAAAATAAAGAAAACGCATTGAATGAGAAGGTGTGTCCAAACTTTTGGCCTGTACTGTACTTTGCAAAGTAACAACAGCAGAGCTCTCTGGGTTGATCTCCGTCTCTGGCGAACTCTGTGAGTAAACTAATGTGAACAGAATAAACCTTCAAATCAGATAAATAAAATCAAAATCTCTGACATTCAACAAAAATGAAAAGTTTATCTAAAACGGCATCTTGTTGAGATAACATCTAAACCAATCAGCTGTTAGATCAGGTGAGAGCCAGGCGTTTCCCATCATGCTCCTGGTCTTGCAGTCGGTGGAGAGTAGCTGCAGCATCTGGCTCTAAAAACTGCTGGATGATCGCTGTCCAAGTTTGCATGACATCAGAGCAAGTCGGTATGAAGTTGGCCACAAAACTAACTGGCGTGCATTGTGCACTGATAGCCAGTGATCGAAGTGATCGTCTCGAACGAGCCTAGTAGTATGTCCCGATTATGTGAACACTGCATGCAACTGTACAAACTTTTTAAGGACAACTGCAGTATGTACTAAAACTAAAAAGAAAAAGTATGCGATTTGAACACACCCATTGTTGGAGGACCTGGGCTGCGTTCAACCTCCGACAAAATGTGGCAAAACATTTATTTAAACAGAAACAGAACATTACATAGGCACACTGCCTTTTAATACAGTGGGGTTTAATTCAATTCAATCAAAAGAGGCTTTATTGGCATGGGAAAAGTTACATTTCCATTGCCAAAGCATCTGTGAAATAAAAAACATTGTATGTGCAGTAGGTGAAGACACACCAGAATTTGGTTTATGTACACGTCACTGTGGACTGAAAACATCTCTGACACACACACACACCAAACGAGAGGAAATGTACCTCAAAGCAAAACGGTGCACACTGTTTTAAAGTTGAACGTGCCCCTGTTCTCTCTACAGGCTCCCCCACCCCAGGGGCCCCATGCAACAACTGCCCGCACTGTTTTTATTTACACCCCTGCAGATAAGTCATTAATGTAGGACTGGCTCAAATTAAAAGACAGAGATAACCAATTAAATTCTATTATTTATCCTTTAATTAACCTGAGAGGCAAATATGGAGCAACCTCCTTAGATGAAACTCTAAGGGTCCTTTTTATAATAGATTAAACAGTACCTTGATTTATTTTGTGGGTGCTTACATGTCATTTAATAACAGCTAATATAAATCAAGTTAATTAAAAACTTAAAACACCCATGTTGTGGTTTGATTTAATTGGCCTGCCGCATTTTCCCCTTTATTCCTTGCTTTTATTTTGAAAGGTGGGATTAACATGCCTTTTTTTCCTTACAGGAGCACACACACACACACACACACACACATACACACGAGGCGGAGTTTCGCGAGGACCTACATCGGAGCCTCAGTTGACTTCAGTCCAGGGTCTGCAGCACAGCTCCACACACACACACACACACACACACACATATATACACACAACTGTTGTGTTTGTCGGTACCGAGGCGTGAAGAAGTGTGAAGCAGCTCTGTAAATATGTAACCGTACATGTCCGGTAACATTCGTGTTTCCCCCGGGAGAGGAAAGATGGACTCTGCTGTGAAAAACACCCAGAAGAAGAAGTTGTGGCTCGGCGGTCTGCTCTGGTGGTCGCTCCTGCTCGAGCTGGCGTCGGGAGGTAACAACTTTAACACTTTAATTCAATGGAAACTAACGACACGTAAACTCATCAGATGGTGCGTTCAGTGCCAGTATGTTAATCCTGTAATTATATCAATATATTGGTTAACTTTTCCGAGTTTCCTCCAGGTGTTTGGAGGAAATACTTTCACCCTGAAGGCAACTTGAGAAGGCTACTTTTCTTTTTATTTACTGGCTGTGTTTCCTTCACATGTAGGCTACAGTAGGCTACAGGAATATTCCTGTAACATCATGAGCGTGTCTCCAAAAGCAGACTGTAGTATCACTTTACAGAGGATTGTTAATGTTTCTGTGCGTGCTGTTGAGCTGCTGCAGTGATTCACAGCTCTTAAAATGTTAACAGAATGAATTGTGAGTGAGGTCTGGCTGGTGTGTTTGGCTGCACAGCAACAACACAAAGTCATTTATGTTTTTAAGCAGCATGATTCTGCATGGTTTTCTCCAAATAATGAGGCTATAACATCAGGGTTTGTCTCAGGTAAATGACTTTGCATGCATGGTGCACCTTGAGGATATACACTGGCCTTATTTTATCATCAAATGTGACTGATGCATGGGAGAGCAATCTGACCGTTACAATAGCACACCCAGATACATTCCAAGAAATGGACAGTGGTCGCTGCAGTGAGAGATCTGAGGGGGGGAAATGTGTTTCTCAGTGAGTCACAGCTTCAGATGTACATTATTTACATCCATGTGGGCATTCATTAGCCTCTCTGGTTGATTTGATCCCATGCATGTGTCATCTAAAGTCAGCCTTCATCCAGGCTCTGACCCTGGGGATAATCAGGAATCATTTCACCATGACTCACTCTCACCATATCCTTCAATGAAAATAACTACAGTATAGACATTTGTTGTACTTCAGTGCGTTTCAGACTGCATGTATCCCCTCAGCATTATGAAACAAACCTTCGCTACAACATCCATGTCCCCGGCTTTGGCAAGTGCATCAGCGACAGAGTGGCATGACAGTCAACAAAAACCGAAAGAGGCACTTCAGTCAAGTTGCATCTCTGATTTGCTGTATAAACTGAGCACACAGGCAGTGACAAGCTCTGGCCTCACCCCTCAAATTAACTGTAAGCGGGTGTTCGCTAAAAGGTCACTGGCTTTGTTGTTGAAAGAGCGGTTTGTGAAGTCACACCAAAAAAAAAAAAAAAAGAACAAAAAAAAAATGTCCCTGACGCACAAAATGTGCCCCTGCAGACATGCAGATTACAGAACAACCTCTGAACACCTCCTGTTTCTGCTTCTTAAGGCACAGTCAGGTGCACATGGGTATGTTAATGTGTGGGTATTGTTTTCTGGAGCTGTGCTCTTTCATTTACATACTCGCCCCCAAAAATGTCCATGTTGCAGCATGTGAGTGTGTCAGAAAAAAAGCTCAGATTCCCTTCCATCTTTTTACAGCTTTCTAAGAATCCAGCAAACTGCAGGGAAGACCCTTTTGTTTAAACCAAACATGACGTTCAATCATATGACTTCAGCGTCACAGTGGGAACGCCGAGATACAATTGCATGTCCATCCCTGTGAATTTAAGGGAAAAATGTCATTGCGTTCCTCTTGGCCAGTTTTTCGGAAATGCTTCCTCCCTGTTTTTGTGCACAGAGATGAATGAACATGACGTATAAATGAGAGGGGACAATAAATGCAGTCAGTCTGACTCAGGGTCAGAGTAAGGATAAGTGATGCTGGCTGCTGTGTGCCTGGGGGCCAATCAATTCATTTATTTCCAGCTGTATTAACAGTCGCTAAAGGCACATTACACCTGACTGGTCAGTTAATCATGTTAATTTGAGTTAACAAACAACAGGAATAACTGCAGCAGTTTTTCCCTACAGATTAATATCTTTAAATATAAATACTTGGATGTGTATATCAGCAGGTGGAGGTTTGGGAAAAGTCTTTGGTCAACGTCAGCACCTGGAGGATAATTATTTAAATGTATTCAAAACTTTATCTAGCTTGTGTCTGCCCTTTACTTGACTATAAAGCCGGGGCCTTCAAACTATATAACATATTTCTGTGTGAGTTAGTGCAAAGCAGTTCTGCTTTGTGGGTGTGCACAAATAAGCACCGAAGCTGGCTACAGTGAGGAATATGAGATGGAGACAACCATGTGAAGCTCACTGGAAAACATGTTTAGCTTCTTGATATGGAAGAAACCCAGCTGGACAAATGAATGAATGTTTTACAGCGATGGGTTTTTATTCATAATAATGGATGACAGGGTTTTGGATTGAAGGACTGCAAAGATCAGTCAGTTGAAAGAAAATGAATAATTCTGGCAATCAGCTAATTATTTTAAGTCACTTCTCATGCAAAATATTTACTTCTCATGTGTGACAACCTGCTGGGTTTCTTTGTCTTCTGTGATAGTAAGGTGAATATCTTCAGGTTTTGGAGTTTTGGTCAGAGAAAACAAGACATTTGAGGATTTCATGTGGGGATTTAGTCGATTGTTATTGTGAAAAATAAGGACTTTATCACTGTTTTATGGCACTTTAAAGACAAATGAAATAGCGAGTGTGTAGGATTTAGGGGGATATATTTGCAGAAATGGAATATAATATAATAAGCATGTTTTCTTTAGAGTATAATCACCTGAAAATAAGAATTGATGTGTTTTTATTACCTTAGAACGAGCTGTTTATATCTACATAAGGAGCAGATTGCCATGTTGCACCACCATGTTTCTGCAATACAGAACAGACAATCTAAACACTGGCTCTAGATAAGTGCATTCACATTTTCGTGTTGTATAGTTCGCAGCCCCTCGAGTGTCAGAAAAACACATATTTTTTTAAAGTGACACAGGTTTATTCAGTGCCTTTACTGCTTTAAATTACCAGGTTTGTTTTGGAGAGGATTAGACCTTTGGATTTAGATTTGGCTCCTGGTAAAAAAAACAAACAAACTTGTGAATATGTGGGTCAGAAATAAGGTGATCACACTTAAAGTTATCAGAGAAAAAGGTACCATTAGCAGGTGCTGGGACAACAGCCCATATGCAATGTGCCAAACAGCAGGAGAAACACTGATTAGTAACATTAAACTGCTTTAACGAGTGTTTTATTTGTTTTAATCATCTGGTACTTTTTGTGTGGATTTTTTAAAAGAAGAAGAGACCTCTGCAGAGCTCTTCAGCTCCTGGTAAAACCTCCTAAATGAAGAAAAATGAGTAAATTCTAACCTGGTTTCAGCTTGTTGCAATCTGCAGTCCTTACTGCCACATGCCACTAAATCCCCCTAGATCTTACACTCTGGACGTTTAATTGATAATGTAAGTAAATGTTAGTTGCACCTAGGTCTTGATGAAATGGAGAAAATCAAATATCACAATATTCTTGACTAAATACCTCTATATCGATATTGCGAAGATATTGTGGGGTTGACATTGGTGCTCTTACAAAATATTTACACAATGATATTTTTAATAAATAATGCAGATATATTGATTACGTGAGTAAAGGCAAATAATAGAATTCTGGTTAGTTCAGAAAATGACATCACTTTACTGAAATGCAGCCTTTAAAACAAGAAAGAGACAACACTGGCGATACTATCATATCCAAGGTGATATCTAGTCTCCTATCACAATGTCGGTATGATATTGACATATTGCCCAACCCTAAAAAAGATCAACATTCATTTAAGACAAACTAGAATAGAAAAAAAGTATTCCAGACACATGAACCAAACCTAAAGTGTATACATTTAGGAAAACAAAACATTTGAATGTAAAATTACGTAGTAGGCCTGTACAGTTTATCTAAGAAGCAAAGATGTTTATGTGCCCACTTTAGATGTGGCATTTTAGCATTCAGTGTTGGATGGTATTTCAGTCGAGAAGAAGAAAAATGATGTGATGCACAAAGACTGAGTTAGCTGTTCACGTATGAAACATTTAAGTTTGCCACTTACTAGTGGAAAGCCTGGGAGATAAGTGAAAACAATTTTAAGGCTTGTAGCATTTCTTTTCTTTCTTCTGCTATTTGGTACACAACATTTTGTTTTTATTTTGTCTTGAAAATGTATTCTTTGAAAGTACGTATAATGTAATTGATATGTTTCTTTTGGTTGTTTCCAATAAGATTGTGTCGTGACTTAAGTAAAATGAAAAAAATTCGTAGTGTGGATCCTCTGATGGTTCCCACCCCTGTTTTTGATGCACTTGTCTCTCAGCAGTCAGCTCCTGTTGATTGCCGACTGTATACTGATGTGAGTGACCGGCTTATTTACAGGCTTTACTGGTTTAATTGTTTTAATTTATACTGCACAGTCCAAACAGATTGGATTTGCTCAAACAAACTACCCATTAGTGCATTAACCCTTTTACAAGTAACAACAATGCATTAACTCACATTAACTGTATCTAGCCTCCCCAGTGAGTCACTCTGGCCCATTAGTGGCGCTCCGTTCTCGCCCTGGGTCACAAACCACAAATAAATCAAACGTGGAACGGACATGTTTCTTCACAGTGGCTGAGATCTTTGTTCACCTCTGAACATGCGTGGGAGCTGAGGAGCTCATTAAAATCTGAACTGGTGGTGCCCGGGCATGAAGGCTTGGACGAGAAAGCTTCAGAGCGCGTTAGGCCAGATTACAGGGTGATGTGAGATGGCTGGGAGGTGAGGTAGAAGAAACAGCTGGCTCTGTCCGCCACGTTGTTTCTGGAACATGAGGCCACGGACAATGTGGGGACGTCAGAGCCTTTCATGTTCAGGTTGAAGGTTCCTGTCAGGGCAGGGCAGGTCCATACATGTCTGACTCCCTGCGAGCTCACCTCTACATCCTCTGCCTCGGTTTGTACACTGCTGTTGTGGCATTGAAGTCAAATACCTTTAAAATTCAGTTATGTAATTCCTACAGTTTTGGGTAGTCCATGAACGACTCTGTTAGAGCTACAAACAGGCAGAGAGAGAAACCTGCAACCCTGTCGCAATGCACGGGTTTTGTTTCATCCTAAAGCAGCTTTAGTGCTGCGTAATTTTACTCTTGTCGTATCTGAATGTAAATCATTACGGTGCAAACACAGCAGGCCCACCAGGAAGTAAACTCAGCAGAGAATCTTGCAAGCATTCCTTTAAATCAGGTGAGGTGTAATTTGTGTGGTAGAAAGCTGTGTGTGTGTGTGTGTGTGTGTGTGTGCGCGCGCAGACTCTGCTCCACTTGTAAAGAACAACCAGGATGATAATTAGCCTGACTTTTATATCTAAATGTCACATGTTGGCTATATTAAGACCACACTGCTTGACTTGACTTGCTCTGTGTTTGCTGTGTTCGCTGCTACTGTACTTGCTGTTGCTTTCATTGAGTGTTCAGCATTAATTTAACAGCCTGCAAAAGACAGTCAACACCATATTTAAACACATACGTTCTCCCTCTCGTTCTCTGTTTGATATTTTTGATAATCCATCCCTCTCTGGTGTCTCTTTTCTGCAGCTTCCTTCTATGGCGATGGCTTTGTACAGCTCAAGGCAACAGAGTCGTCCGACCATAACACGCTCCGCATTCGCTTCCGAACCTCCAGCACCAACGGCCTGCTGTTTCTCGCCGCCGGCAAGACGGACCACTTCCTACTAGAGCTCCATGCTGGTCGCCTGCAGGTGGGTACATCTATGGCCCCAGCGCATGAGCATATGTGTTCAAGCATACATGAGCACACACGTGCACGCATATATATGTATAGATATACTATACACACAGATCTTTGTGCTTGGCCACATGCACGCGTGACACACGCTGACCACCGTAAGCTATGGCTCCATCGCAGCTGACAGTGTCAGTTGCTCAACACAGTAACACAAGCAGACAAGCCTGGGTGGTGTGAGCGGAGTGTTGACTCTATACCAGTCAGTTGTCACAGTGGAAACTAGGAGACAATGTAAACAGCAGATCTGTGGGTTTATTGTATCTGAGTAATCAAGTGATCTTTGATTGATTCTACTGTAGATGTCAGCCAGATGATTTGTGACTTGATTACTGAATAGACGTGTGCCACATAGTGCCTATCAGTACCGCTTGTAAGCACTGGCCCTCTGGTACTATCATCACTCTATAATATGATGTAATGTCGGGCTGCAAGTATTGTTTTTTTTTATGTTGATTAATTGTTATTTTAAAATTATTAGTCCACGAAATGTCAAAAAATGTGACAAAAAGTTACATCTTTATATGTCTTGTTTTCTTAAAGCAGCTGTGCGGAACTTTCCGTTTTCGTTGATTATAGCGCCCCTTTTGGTCGAAGCGGTATGACACCCACACCCTGGTGTCGTAAAATTCCGACTGCAGCCTTCAGCTTCATTCATAAAATATTGGCTGCAACGGGCAATTACCGCATGCATTTGTTTTGGAGAGCGAGAGGAAAATCATAAATGTTCTGGTGTAGCTGTGAATTTCTTATAAACTGAGGACAACTGCCTGCTGTATATTTGTGTTCATGGTCACAGTCACAGATAATTTTGTGGCGTTTGTTGTAACATTACTAGACAAAAGCGGTTCACATCAGCTAACGTTACATTTAGCTTGTTTATAACTTCCATGTCGTCACATATTGAGGTGAAACCACGTCTAACAAGTTGCGGTATATTCTCTAAATAAAAACAAAAATTACATACCTGTCGATTAGGAAAAGGACCAACTCGGGATCAGTTATAAAACCTTTCAAATCTCTCAGCTCTTTCCACTTGGTGAATGCCTGATCGAGGTTTACATGCGTTTGGGCTCAAGCCCTGTCACTGTCCCGTTTAGCCTTCTTCTGTTCTTTTTCTTTTAGAAGGTGCTCCTTCGTTATCCGCCATGACATCGAAAGTACAACCAAGTCCTTATAGATAAATCTCGTAAAACTATTATGTGTTCAGGGGCGTCTGTGGCTTAGTGGTAGAGCAGACGCCCCATGTACAAGGCTGTTGCCGCCGCGGCCCAGGTTCGAGTCCAGCCTGTGGCCCTTTGCTGCATGTCATCCCCTCTCTCTCTCCCCCTTTCACACTTAACTGTCCTGTCCATTAAAGGTAAAAAATGCCCCCCAAAAATATCTTTAAAAAAAAAAAATGTTATGTGTTCAGCAATGCCCGTTGCGTACCGCATACTCGAAGAACACTCTCTGCAAACACGGCTCTTCTTCTTCTCTCAATTTATTGGCGGATCGCAAACAACTTCCAGGTGCATACCACCACCTACTGTACAAATGTGTCCGAAATCATTCACTACTCCCTACTACATGTCATTTAGCCTGTTTCTTAAATCCTACTCGTAAACATGGCTCCTTCTTCTTCTGTGGTTTAATGGCTGCGGGCCGCTGCGGGCGTGCAGACTTACTTCCACCTCCGGGTGCCGTATTCTGGATTACTGACTTCCGCTGTGTCCGACCCAACCGAGGCTACGCTAAATAGCCATATAGAGAAAGGCTTTTTTGTTGCTGTTGGGTTCAGATAAATATGTGGATCTTCAAGGAACTAGGGACAGTTTTATAAATGGTAAAAAGTTCCATACAGCTGCTTTAAGTTTGAGTCACCACCCCACTTCTGCTATCCACAAGAAACAATTATCAAATCCCCTTCGTCGCAGGAAACAACGAGAACCTCTAAGCCAGTGGTTGGCCGCCTGTATTTATATCTGTGTACAATAGCTTCTACAACTTGTGTTATCACTCTTATCATGACATAAGAAAATAAAAATAAGAAAAAATAAGGCAGGTAGCTGACAGTTTTTTCTCTTCTCTTTCAGTGGTAGGTCGTCTTCGCTGGTGCTTTGTTGTAATTTGCTCCATACAAGTGATCCATTGTCCCACTCACAGCTTTCTCCTTTTAAATGTTATCATCTCTCACACTGGCTGCCAATCAGGACTTTTAATGTGTCACACACTTATAATCCCCACATTCGAACAGTCACAAATAGGTTCCCTGTGAAGGTTTTTTTAAATTAAATTAGATTACATTTTTTATCTAGACTTTGCCTCTTTATCAGGAAAAGGGTGCGCACAACATACTGATACAGTCAATTAAAAATTAATTCATAACTTTTTGTACAGGCCCAGTTGAATTTTGTTGTAATAATGTGTGGTTATCACAAAATCCTATGGTGTGCCTGGACTGGCACTACCACTGCTCTAAGCTAACAACTTAAAAGCTGAAAATGGCAAGTTTTGACGAAGATTTGGATCGTGAAACAAGGCATGTCTGCTTTGTTCTTTTGGTGAATTATGGTAAAGATTTTCAACAAATTAAACAACTTGTGAATGCACTTCAGAAAACCCCAGATTCCGTCTCACAGGACTCCCGGGCCTGATGTTGATCCATTTTTCTGATGCAGCCAGTTGAAGTTGACTTGCCACATCTTTCTTCCCTGGCAGCAGCATACACCAGTGATACTGACTTCACCAGTGTACCGATCTGTTCCACTTCAGACAAGCTTCTGTGATATTGTCATAATGATAATACATTGGATTGATATAGCGCTTTTCTGGATACTTTTACAGAGAACAAAAACAACAAAACAAAAACAAAAAGATGCAATCATCCACAAAAAGGGAAACAATGCAGAGAGGAAGAAGAAGAACACAGTTTTTTAGAGATTGTAGGCAGTTTTATAGAGGTCGAGAGTGAGGGGGAGTCTCTGATGTATTTATGGATTGAGTTGCAGAGGGTGGGAGCACTAATGGAGAAGGCCCCATGCCCCCAGGTGCGGTGGTTAGTTCTGGTGGGGGGTGAGCAGGAGGTTGATATCAGTAGACCTGAGAGTGTGGAAGGGAGTTTGTCTGTGGAGGAGCTCAGACAGATAGGGGGGAGCCAGTAATGATGAGGAGTTTAAAGTGTATACGCTGGGGGACAGTGAGTCAGTGGAGGTTATGAAGGATGGGGGTGATGTGGTCACAGGTGCGTGAGTGTGTTAGAAAATGAGCAGCTGAGTTCTGGATAAACTGTAGTTCCTTAAGTGTTTTGGATGGAGATCTGTAGAGGAGACTGTTGCAGTAGTCTAGCCTGGAAGTAATGAATGCATGAATAAGAGTCTCTGCAGTTGAAAAGGAGAGGGATGACGAAGGTGTTTCTGAGATGAAAGAAGGCAGTTTTGGTGATGTGTTTGATGTGTTGGTCAAAGGAGAGGGTTTGATCAAAAATGGCACCAAGGTTACGGACATGGTGGGAGATGAGCACAGTTGAGCCACCGACAGAGAGGTAGAAGTCATGGGTGGATTTGGGACTGATGATGATGACTTCAGATTTGTCACAGTTAAGATTTAGGAAGTTGGTTTCAAGCCAGGATTTTATGTCAGTGATGCAGTTGGTGAGGGTAAAGTGATGGCTTTGGTGAAGATGTGGAGTGGATTATTTGACCAAGGGGGAGAACCTACAGGATGAAGAGGAGGGGGCCGAGAACTGAACCTTGTGGAACACCTTGGGAGAGGGTAGCAGTGGGGGATTTGCACGAACCAGGTACAACTAGCAAATTGTCTGTGGTTTTAATGGGACTAGTGAGCTCCTCCAGAGCTAATTAAAGTCAGGCTTCACCACGAAGGCACGGATTATCAAATTGTTTGTCTTTTTTATCAGTAAAAGTTCAATTACAGTCCACATCTGGAGTGTTTTCTTATGTGGGGAATTAGCCATTTTAATGACAGTGCTCACCTCCCCAGGTGCAAATGATTCACAAAAACAAGTTTCCCCAACACTGTTTTGCAGGTTCACTGTCACTGCATCCAATACAATAAATTAAATTTGATTAAAATGAAATTATATTCAACTTAAACTGTGTGACAGCAGTGAAAAAGACTAATATTTCCACAGTATTCATTTGGCTCTAAATATATATAACATGCAATACATATATCTGAAAATTTCCCTCTGATTCAGTGACAAAATATATTTACCTTGGGCAGAGTGAAAAGATTTAGGATGGGTTTGTGTTCCATGTGGAGAGCACTATTTTTAGAAGCCTTGCTGGGAGGATTTAGGGGTGAAATACATTTGCCCCTTCAAGACTGCTTCTAAAGCATCCAGTAAGCAGCTCTGCCAGGCTGCATCAGCATGCAGAATGGACAGACGTACAAGGAGGCCTTGTTATTATGCAGACACATTCATAGGACACACAAGAAGTCCTGAGATACGCATTATAGGTTTTGTGCATCAAACTCGAGAAATCCTTGTGGCTAAGCTTCTATTCGTGTCAGACTTGTGCTACCGGGAATGAATCACACTGACGACTGGGTTGCACTGTCATACTTCAGTGAGCACGAGGAGTGAACCGCTCGCCCATGTTCCTTAAACTGGCACAGGTCACCAAATAATTTTTTTTGTTCACTCGCACAAGTTATCCTCAGGCTCGGGGTCTCATTCCATGTGAGTCAGACATGAGCGTCGCTCCCTGGAAACCCTTGCATGAATAGCAGGGACTCAGCAGCAAGCCTTGACAAGCACGTCATCTAAATGCAGCATTAGTTTGAGATGGTGACATGATGCTCTGCGGACATAGCTGAAGGCAAAGAGATAATAGTTCTCTTCCTGCTTTAAATCACAGACAAAGCTCACTGTTATAACACCAGCTGACATCATGGAATATAAGCAGTCTGAATCCTGTGTTTCCCTTTCCAGGTGTCACAGTGTCTACACTTATTCATTTAATTCTTATTAATCATAACGTCACAGGTTAGAGAAATAATTATTTCATCTGAGACAATGAAAGTATTTTAAAAATCTGCTTATAATTTTTGCACTTGTCAAGATATAGAAATATTATTTTTTTCACTTGACACTTGCAACCTGTACATGCATGTTTAAACAAGGGACTACAGCTATGAGAGAAGCATCCAGTGCTCTGCTTTGAGCTTATTGCTAATGCCAACATGCCAGCATGTTTGCAGGGACAATGCTGACATGCAGATGTTTAGTGGGTATAATGTTCAGAGTGTTCATCATCTTAGAATTGCGTGACCTGATAATGGTGCTAGATGAAAAGTTAAAGGATTACCAAAGTAATTACAATTTTATCCTGAGGGAACAGACAAGTCTACCAAGTTTAATGGCAATTCATCCAATAGTTGTGAAGACATTTTACTCAAGTCTACAAACGTGAACCTCACAATGGCTCTGGTGGAAAAATCAAGGGGTCAAAAAAGTCTTCAAGATTTACCCTCTGGGCACCACTGATATCTGAACTGAATTTCATTGCAACAAGTTCAGTGCCCGTTCAAAACATGCCCGTTCAGAACAGGCTGATTCCTGTGGTTTTGCTGCTTAAACAAACAACTTCATACTCGACACTGCACTTCCTGAGGTCCTGAGCAATACACCTAAGCCCTAGACAGCTACAGTATAGGTTTATAGATATTTTTAGATATAAAAAATATTGAATTATGTTGCTATTCTAATTCATTGTACCCCGAAATAACATACAGAAGGCCCCCAAAGCACTTAAAAATATGCAATTCAACAGTTACTATGCATTTACCTGACAGAAACATGTCACTGGTAACGTTACAAATTTAAAAACCAGTGAAATACACTAAAGCAGTGGTTCCCAACTGGTCCAGCCACAGGGTCCAGATTCCTTGTTAGTCATTAGTTCAAGGTCCACTCAGTTAAATATATTCAGTGTCATATTTGTGTTCGGCCATGTCTTCGGGCTAGTTTGCTGTCTCTGCCAAGTAGCTGTCCATTAGTCACTCACTCTAGAGAAGGAAATTACACTTCAATAAAAGATCTGTGCTGGAAATTCACTGTACTTCAAAATAAAGTGTGCTTGTGGTCCATTCGGAATAGTCCCGCAACCCTTTTTTGGACCGTGATACACCAGTTGGGAGCCACTGCACTAAAGTCATGGAAATAGCTCTTGGGGTATTTCAGTGTGAACCAAAGTGGTAGCCAGCTGACCGAGACTGCTTTTCCTAAAGACATATCGCTACCATGGCTTATTATAACAGCAGTCGTACTGAATGTGAGATATCACAATAAAATATTTATTCTAAACTGATAAACCTGAATTCAGATTGAATCACTGCTTAGATCAGTACTTGCATCTGCTCTTTATACTTGTAAAATAGCATATGTTATAATCCAGTTGTTTTGTTTCTTCTCTCAGCTGAAACTGGACCTTGGATTGGGGGAGCTTGTGCTAGAGTCAGAGAGAGGCACCCAGCTCAATGACTTGGCCTGGCACTCGGTGGAGGTCCGCCATGTGCAGCACAACATCACTCTGACTGTAGACAAGAACTCTCACACCAGTATAAAGATGCCAGACACCCATCACAAGCTCCACATTCTGGATGGGCTCTATGTTGGAGGCTCAGGAGGCCTGGACAGACTTTACCTCCCCAGAGACTTGATCGGCTTCCGAGGCTGCATGGAAGAGGTGGTCTTCAATGAACATGACATGTTGTCATCTCTGAGGCCATATACCGGATTCAAGAATGTCCATGAGGTTTCTTTAGGCTGCAGTCCTCAATTCTTTGCCACAGAGGAGGACCCAATTAGCTTCTTTAGCTCCAGGGCTTATGTTTCTCTTCCAACCTGGAACACCCAACAGGAAGCGATATTCGAGTGTGTTGTCCACACTTCAGCCAAAGAGGGAATTATCCTGTACAGTTCAGCTAGAGAGGGGGACTATGTGGCTGTGGAGATACAGGAAGGTTTGCCAGTGGCCATTGTTGGAAAAGGTGGAATGAAATCTGAGCTTCGTGCCCTAACATTCATCAATGACAGGAAATGGCATTCACTCAAGTTGCAATTCAGTTCCAAAAATCTTGAGCTAACTGTTGATGGAGAGATGGTGAAAAGCAGTATTAGCACTCGGTCAAAGGGGCTTCAGCCAAAAGGTTATCTTTTTGTTGGAGGTATCGATGACGGCACCAGATCAGAAGTCAGAAAGGTGGGGCTTGTCTCTGTGTCAGGAAAGCGTGTCAGAGGGGGTTCCTTTAAAGGATGTTTAAAGAACATTGAAGTAAATGGAGTGAAGACTGGTCTCTCCAATGCTGTAGTCACCAAGGATATTTCAGTTGGTTGTGAGCCAGAGAAAGAACCAGAACCATCAACCACTGCGAGTCCAACAAGTGCTCCGGCACCCCTTTTTCACTTGGTGACACCAACACCATCACTTCACATGTCCACACTTGCAAGGGGCTTGGACAGAAAGTATGGCTTGAAATTTGTGCATCTAAGAAACCTTCTGGTCCAGGAAGGTGGTCGAGCATCTCTCGAGGCCAAACACATCAAGGTACTCTTGGACTTCAAGAAACTTGGCATTCGACAGTCTCAGATCGTGTTTCGAATTCAGGAGCAACCAATTCGTGGTCAGATAAGACTTGATGTGGATCAGGACCAAGAGGAGAACACCTTCAGCATGTTGGACCTTTGGCACGGACGAGTGATGTATATCCATGGAGGCTCCGAGGAACCAGATGACTTCTTCATGTTTTCAATTTATTCTAGCAGTAGAAAACAAGTTCCTGATTATCTGAAGGACAACAAATTGTACCGCTACAATATTACTGTGACACCCACCAACGATGCACCTGAATTGAGTCTCCCTGAAGGAAACCTCTTTGTCCTGTTGGAGAACTCAAAGAAACGCCTAACCACTGATATTCTGAAGGCGACAGACATTGACAGCAACTACACTGACCTTGTCTTCTCTGTGCTTGGGAACTTAAATGCTGATGCAGGATATTTGGAAGTTGAGAAGAACCCTGGTAAGGCAGTCACCTCATTCTCATATTCAGACTTGGAAGAACTGAGGGTGTATTATGTTCACACAGGGGTTCGAAACTCAAGGATAGTTCTTAGAGTTAGCGACGGGGAAAAGGTCAGCAACACTGTAGTTCTAAGGGTCATGGCTGTAGCGCTGGAGTATAAGATTGCCAACAACACAGGGCTTGAGATTATTCAGGGAGAGACAGCTGTACTTGGTTCGAAGCAGCTGGCTGTGCAAACCAATGCTGTAAAACAAGTTGTAGACATCCGGTATGATATCATTGAACCCCCTCAGTATGGAGAACTCCAGAGACTTCATTCAAGTGGTGAATGGAGGCCTACTGACTCATTTTCCCAAAGGCTTCTAGAAAAAGAGCGCCTGAGATATGTAAGCACTTTTCAAGACATCCAAACGTCCAACGCAACCGATTACTTTAAAAGCAAAGTTACTGTGGCTGCAAGGGCAACTACTGAAATACTTTTCCCTGTCACTGTGAAGTGGGTGAAGTACCGCCTGGTGAGGAATGTTATGATAGACATGGATAAAGTTAGAAAAGTGACACTGGACTCTGAGTCTCTTTTTGCCACAGCTGAAGGTGTGGCCCTCGCAGAGGATGACCTCTATTTTCGGGTTCTCACTACACCAAAAAAAGGGAAACTGCTTCTCGATGCCACAGTCTTGACGAAGAACTCAACCTTTAGCCAAAGAGATGTAACAGATCTAAAAGTACATTACGAGCTCGTTGACAGGCCTCACGAAGATACAAGTGACAGGTTCAAATTCCAGCTCGTTTCCAAACATGCTCAGTCACAATACTACGACTTCCGCTTTTCTATCAAAGCTGACGTCAACAGCGTGTTTATGAGAAATGATGGACTCTCACTTCAGGAAGGAGAAAGTAAACTTATCACAAAGGATGAGCTGTTTGCAGAGACTTTGAGTACAAAGGATATGTACTACACAGTGATAAGCAGCCCCAAACATGGGAAGCTAGCCCGTATTAGCCAGTCAAATTCCAATGCTAGCTACGACAACATCTTAACCTTTAGTAACCAGGATATATTAGAGGAACGGATAATGTACATCCATGATGACAGTGAAACAACTCAAGATGAGTTCACCTTTATAGCCTCCATTAGCCAAGGGTTCAAGTCCTCCATCGCAGACGATGAAATTGGCTCCAAAGAAGGAGTGTTCAACATTTCTATTCAGCTATTAAATGACCAAAAGCCGGTGCGTGTTATTGATAAAGTTTTTAATGTAGTAAGGGATGGACAGAAGTTGCTCACTATAGAGGATTTGCGTTACCATGATGCAGACTCTGACTTTGATGACTGCCAGTTGATTTACACTCGACGTGGAATCCCGATGGGAGACCTAGTGCTGGTTAATGACACTACTCATCGTCTGTTCCAGTTTCGACAAAAGGATTTGGAAGATAAGCGAGTGTTGTTCATTCACAAAGGTGTGAGCTATGGCAGGTTTGTGCTTTTCGTCTCCGATGGAAAACATTTCGTATCAAGCCTTCTAGACATCAGCGCACACGACCCTTTCTTGAAGGTTGGCAACAACAATGGCCTGCTGGTTCAGAAGGGCCAGTCAGTAACCTTTTCCACCAGTAATTTTAGTGTCACATCAAATTTGGACATCAGAGATGACCAGGAGGTTATCTTCAAGTTGGATGAGGCTCCCAAGTATGGAGGACTCTATCGCAGTGACACAAAGGTGGAGTCATTCTCACAGTCTGACCTAAAGGATGGACTGATCTCCTATCAGCACAATGACAGCAAACATCTTGCAGACTATTTCAACTTAACAGTGAAAGCTAAAGGTCTTCAACTAGCAGCGAGGATCAATGTGAAAGTTTACCTGGAGAGTCATCAGAGGCCTCCCATCGTGCTGCATCACAAAGTCTTACTGGTGGAAGAGGGAAAACCAGTGAAGATCAGCGAAACTAAACTGGAGGTGAGTGTTTGAGAAGAGAGAGTCTTTTTTATCAGTAGTCGTGCAAATTTATTCAACTTCAAATAATATGATGGCAATGTTAAAGGCCAGTGCCAACCATTTCTCAGTTATATTGCAATTTATGTTTGTGCCACAATTTGATTGCAACAAAAATCTAGTTAGTTTTTGTTTTAGTGGATTTTTTTTTCATGTTAAATTTTCTTGTTCTTTAATGTTTGACCATTGCTCACTAAACCTCTCCTTTACAGTTGATATAATGATAAGAATTATAATATTAATTATATGTGTACTTGTGGAATCGGAGAATGTTTCCGTTTCCGTTATGTTAAGAGTTCAGTTCACCCCAAAATCAAAAATACAGATTTTCCCCTTTACCTGTAGTGCATCAAATCATGGGTGAGAGGCCCATGCCCATGATAGGGCAAGAATTAAACAATAATGGCGTCCCCCTTGGCTGAGCTGTAACATTTGCTAGCTCAGTGGTGCTAGGTGAGCTAGCAGTAGATGCATGCTTCCTTCTGCATGGTGATACAGTTGATTGGTGTAGTTCTGTAGAAAGAAAATAGTTCCTACATGAAACTGCTCACAACAAGGTCTGTGGATTATCTTGAGTAACCAGGGTCATGATTTCTGGAAAGAGACATTCCTGTTGAATTTTTCAAATGTTTTTTTTTTTTTTTTTTTTTTTTTTTTTTTTTTTTTTTTTTTTTTTTTTTTTTGCCGCTTTGAGTACATCAAACCAAGTGTCATCTATTCTGATTATATTTGAGAGGAGGCTGACATCTCTATGGCTGATATCTCCAACAATCAGCAACTCACACCAAAACAATCTAGATTGATTAAAAGCACTACAGGTAAAAGGAAAAATATGTATTTTAGATTTTGGGCTGAACTGTCCTGAAAATATTTAATTTAACAACCTGCGTCTTGTGGCATAGTTATGATGTTTGAAGGAATCAGCATTTAGCTGATTATCTAAACTATAATAAAAGGACAATATCTCAATAATGTTCCAGTAAAAGTGCAGTTTTTACTGCTCTGAAAGGGCAGAAACTGAATGCTGACCAGTCTTTGTTTTACAATGATGCCATGTTACGTTGAGAGCAAAATGAAATCTGAACTTATGTGACGCATGGAACATTTCAAATTTAACCAGTGAATATGTTTTCCGATCGCTGCAGGTCACTCACGAGGACAATCTGCCATCCGAGATTGTATTCACAGTCAAAGCAGCCCCGTCTCATGGCTTTCTCCGGTGCTTTGTCGAAGCAGAGGAGCGCTACATCGGAACCAAACAGTCCCCTGTCAAGACGTTTACCCAAGAGGACATTAACGGTGGGAACATCCAGTACATGCAGGTGGAGGCCAACAAAGTGAACGACACCTTCGTCCTCGATGCCACCAACGGCGTGACTGACATCAACGGCATTAGGATGTCTGTTGACATCATCCCACGCCTCATCCCTGTACAGGTCTCCAATTTCACACTGAACGAAGGCGCCTCCAAGGCGTTGACCCAGGATGTGCTCAAAGTCACCAACAGACACTTTTCTGGAATCAACTTCCTGTATAGTTTGACTGAGCCCCCGCAGCATGGTCACGTTGAGCACTCTCGACATCCCGGTGTGGCCATAACCTCTTTCACCAGGAGGCAGGTGAGATGTTCAGACAGACGCTCTCGTAGCTGCCACAGAATAACAGCAGTAGCCCTGCAGTTGAATTGATGAATAAATAACTTGGTTTAAGGTGGTGGTGATATTTTTCATGCTCATAACTAACAATGAAGACACACAGGTCATGTCTGTTTGATTTTGTCATGATCGTTGATATTTTACAGACATTGAATGATATAGAGGTTTTGAATTTGACCTAAAAACTAGTCCTTGTGAACAATAAAGCATGTCTAATCTTAAGAATACATGTCAAGATTGCATAATATAATAATAAATTAAATTATTCATCCATCAATCAAAAAGACTAATCCAAGTCCCGACAGGTGAAATGCTCTGTACTAATCACATTATGCAGTAGGTAACACTGAAGCAACAGGGCTCATGACCTCCGAATTTTCCTGTCATGTCCACTGCCATTTTACGCAATGAGTTTTTTTTAAATTTGACCCCTGTGACCAGGCGTTTTTACAATTTTTGTAACCTAAAATTCACCCTTCATTAAATCACAGCATTAAAGCAAGAAAAAAAATAGCACTACCCTGAGTTGACCCCCTTTTCATCTCACCCTACCCCAGCTGTAATCTCTGGGTCTTTCTGTCATGCTTCTCATTAATTTCTAAAATTGTACAACCCAATGATGCATTTAATCTGCGTCCCTGTATGCATGCAGTGTCATGGAATAAGAGATGATTCACAAATCATTATATTGTCCTGTACCTGTTCTGAATACATCTTTGCATTTTTAATTTCTGTACTAATTTCCATTATCTGTAATTAGGTGGAACACGAATTCATTTACTACGTCCACGACAGCAGCGAAACCTTCGCTGACAGCTTCACTGTGGTGGCCAATGACACGGGCCTGAGGAAGCAGAGCGCACCCCAGACGGTGTACATCCAGGTTTCAGCTGTCAACGATGAGCCTCCTGTTATTACAGCCAACAGGGTCCTCAGGGTGAGTCGGCATTGCTGCTCTATATTTAAACTCTGGACTTTTTTTTTCACCAGCAGGTCTGGCATGATAACTTACTGTCAGACAGTTTTCATGTGGGCAGTGCTGCAAGTTGCCTCGGCTGGCTGGCTGGCTGGATGAGGGAAACTATGTTTGCTATGTGGAGGAGGGTCCAGAGGGGCTGGCAACACACACTGACATACATTTGGAGGTGTCTGGGATTTGTAGGAAGGCCTGTTTATGGTGCTGAGGTGTTGAGCTTTCAAACAAACTCTTGTAGTGTTAAAATAAAGTGCTGCTTCTTGGTGGGTCAGTCGCCAGCAATGCTGCTTGGGTGAGTCGAATAGGGAGCTGCTATTTTGCATAGTTTGGGTTGACTGGAAAATTATTTCAAAGGCTGCTTATGAATACAAAAGAGTTTCAATCAAATGGAAAATAACCCAGAGGCATGAGACGGACAGAAGGTCTTGCTGCTGAAAATATGTCACTTGAATTTAGTCCATTTCGCAGGCATCCTAGTGTTGAGTGGCGTGATAGCATCATGGCCTGGAAATAGCAAACAGTGTGACCACATGTCCTCAGCTCAGTCCAGTTTCACATCTCGCTCCACTATCTGCTCATCCAAAGAAACCCTGCTAGTTGCTGAGCCCTGCTATCTGTGAAAAACACCTTTTCTCACAACATTTAAATGTTATTCTTAAATTAGACTAAAGTTGTTGTATGTGGCCGTGGTCTGAGCACTGCTGACTTGTACTCTGTCAGCTTTAGTGGCTACACTTGGGAGAAGTCCAGCTGGAAAGAGAGGCTGAAGTATAGGTTTCTATTGTCTGTGCAGCTTTGCCCCAAATGCCTCAAATTCCTCGGTGATCCTGCGGACTCAGAGTGGAACGACTTCTAAAATGTACTGCACTGAAGAACAGTGGTGAGCCCGTTGAGTTAAAGTTAATCAGAAACTCTGAGAATATTTTTGAAAGGGAGCTGTTTATGATTTTTTTGGCAGCCGTCACTCAGATAAACAAGTTGTAGCAACATTGCACAGATGCTATAGATGCTATAGAAGCAATATTTATTTATTTATTTAATGTATTTCAGTAGTTTAGTGATTATTGGAGCCTTGATATTTTTTATCATTTACTTTTACCATGTCTGTCTGTTGTCTGTTTTGATTTGTAATATGTGCTGATGCCTCGTCTGTCGGCTGCAAAACAGATTTGCTTACAGATACAAATAAAGTAACCTGAACCTGATTGTCACTGACAAACTGGTCTGCGCATATTGATGATCACAGTTTAATTCAAATGTGATCATTAGTCATTATTTACTAGATTTTAGGTGGAAGGTCTGGATTTTGTCCACAAGGTGGCTCTCTGCTACTGCACTCTATTACACTTGTACCGTGTACTTGTACCTCTTACAGTCACAGTTATACATGTATTACCTCAAAAATAGTTTTGAGACAGCTTTGAATTCTGTATTGAAATAGGACTTGTCAGATTTTTATTCATCAATTATGCTTCAGGGTTTATATTTACCATATATAGAATTGGCAAATGTTGAATAAACCCTAAGATTAAATATAAACTGCTGTGAAATGGACGAATCTGTCTTAAAAGTACTTTTTTGTCAACAATGAAAACAACACAGACAAAAGAAACGTCATCCAATGATGCCGAGGTCTAAGAAAATCTTAATTATGCCAACAAAATGCTGACCTATTTTAAACTGAAACCAACAGTTTACACTCTTTAAGTGTTTTTATTTTGTGGTTGTGGCAGTGCTAGCATTCATGACATATATTTGCCCTGCTGTGGTTTTCCAAGGTCTGTGATAGACATCTAGAAATGTCGCTATCACAATGACATGTGTCAGCAGTCTGTGGCTGTGTTTTACTGTCAGGGGTTTTAAAGTGCAACTAAAATTCAAGGAGTTATCATACAGAGCTGTGAGCAGAGTCTTCTGAACTCAAATTTGGTATGTATCCTATGTGACCTCCAGATAACACTTGCTTGCAGCCAGCAGCAGCAAAACAGGCTGCAATGTAATCCCTGGGGGCAATTGAGCACTGTCGATTTACCTCCACGAAAAGTGCTTGTTTGTGCCACTGACAGGCTCGGATTATTATTCTATGATTCTGACAACATTATGGAAAGGATCCCTACAGAGATAGACCTTTTTGTTTAACCAGAAACAGCCCCAGAATCGCCATCGCCAAAACCACCAGACTCCATTTACTAAACAGTGATTTTTGCGTGAATAGAGCCAGCATATTTTCACATCTAACTGGGTGAATTAAGGGATTATTTCAACCAAACCAGAAGTGGTGATGGTCTAGAAAGAGTGTAAAGACAAACTAAGGTGGTCTGTGTGTGTGTTATTGTGCTTATTTTGTTTCTGTTAATTCTGAATGAAGAGTGTTTTGCAATGATAAAATTACTCTTTATTTAAATGAGGTCTGGTGTGTTTGCCGATAACAATTTTCAGACTGTTTCTAGTTAAACAAAAAGGATCTTACTCTTAAACAAATAGGTCTATTTCTGCAGGGATCTTTTCCATGATGTTGTCAGACACACAAAAAGCACTTTAAGTGGTCGTAAATTGACGGTGCAAACATGATCCGAGTGTTTACACAATGCAGCCTGTTTCACTGCTGCTGGCTGTAGTCATCTCTCTAAATACTGGACCAAATTCAAAAACTACTGTCCCCGTTAGTCATTTAGACACAAAAAAAACATGGGAAAATAAGGTCTGGGTTGAAAATGACCAAGCAACATGTACTCGAAATGTGTTTTTTATTATTATTGTTTTATGCAGGTGAGTTAAAATCCCAAGTCTATTAAAACACCTCAACAAATAAAGATAAAAACAGTTGAAGTTTGGCAGTCAACATTCACTGAATTTAATCAAAGTCAATCAAAGATGTGGCGAAGTTTGTTTTGTTTAAACCTGACTGTCATCTCCGTCACCAAAGCTGCAGCCTGATAAGCAGCAGACGCCCCGTCATGTCTGAGGGATTGATCTCGACTCCGACAGGGCTGCTGGTGCAAATTGATCTCACGTGTCCTTTCTTTGAATTTGGTGAGTCGCACTGTTGTTGCTCCTCAGACTGATCCCGCTGTGACTTCCTGTTAAATGGGGGGATTACTGGAGGTGTAGTCATTTCCCGCTAGATGAGCTCACACCGGCATGTGTGGCAAGTCTTCTCATGTGGGAGGACGTGATGCTGTGGGACCGATGTGCTGTGTGTGGTGGGTGGATGTGGGGCTTGCAGGTGCTAATTGAAAAAGTACCTCTTGCTTCTGTTCCATTAAGTAACACTTATAACAAAGTGAGAGGCCAGCTCACTGACAGTTACACCCAAGCCTTTAAATTTGTCATTTTGGGGCCATTAAGACTCACCCAATATTTAGTGTTTTTAAAAAGTAAAGCCCACCCTCAGATTATGATGTTTGTGATAGGCTGTACATACCTGCAGCTATTTATTTATTAATTTATGTATTTATTTCTGTTGTTTCACCCACTGACATTTCTCACATTAACCAACATTCAGAGAACAGCAGTGGGAACCTGCCAGTTCACACTCTTTATTTTAAACGCCACCGATCGTGTGGCTGCATTGCACTTCAGCATGGCCTGCTAAAAATTGCTGTAACAGGAAACTCATTTGCATGCAAACGACTGTCTTTAATTTGTATGGTACAGAAGAATACACTCCAGACCATGAGCCCCAACCAGTGATCTAACCCAACAATAACATTAACTGTAACTGTAAAGCTGCTATGATCAATATTTTGTTTTAAAGATGGGTCAAATCACTAAGTGTAATGTGTTACTTGTCCCTCATAGTGACAAACCTGCAGATAAGTTTTACTTCTCTACAGTTCCCGTCAGCTCTACAGAGCATGTCAACGTCTTTCAGCTCAGTGTTTTTTCGGCCACAACTCTTTCGGTTCACTCTAACCGCTCTCATTAGCGTTGTTTCCAGCTTTAGCAGGCAGCTTTTGTCAACAATGAAGCTCTAAATCCTCAGGCACACAAAGTTAGCAGCTAACCAGTGAACATAGTGGAGCAACTAGCAGCTATAGAGACAGATTTTGAGTGAATACATTCACCAGTCGGCCAGAAACATGACTGAAATGTAAGCTGATGTTGCCTTGTATGTATCTACTGAATGTGTAAAGACCCACCCAGCTTTTTGATAAGTTTCTTGAATCAATATGTCGGTGTTTGCAACTTGTTTCCTTTGCCACAAAGTGACCAAAAATATTTTGTACCCAACCTTATTGTGAACACAATGCAGTGTTTTCCTAAAAAAAACAATGTACGGACTCATACCAAAGTAATCCCTCTCAATCAGCACTAGAAGTGTGTGGCGATGTATTCATCTGCAGCAACCCTGCTCTTTGCCTGTATGTTCTTATGTTCTTATTTTGCTATATTTGAAATGTTTCTGGGCACAGTGCGCAGATGAGGTCAGGAAGTGAACAGGGCCAGACCGTAAGCAGGACACTTCCGAAAGTAGCGACGAAAATCAAGGACGCAGGGCCGAAAACAACACATAAATAGTGAATCCAGGGTGGGTGCTCACTTTTGCCTTTAAATAAGTATTTTATCACCAGAAGGACGGTCTTTTCATAAAGCTGGGTATGCAGCAGAAAGACAAATACTTATGAAGTTGGTGCCATATGAGCAGAGAAAACTGAGGAAAGGGATTGTAGTGGTTGCTGTTGCTCAAGAGGTAGAAAACCTAAAACAACTAGAATGCTCTGCATTACACCGGACCAATAAACGCTTCCAGTGGTGGGTGGTAATGCTGTTTGCTCACCTGAAAACAATATGGCCACCAGTTGGTTGCAAAAAATTTCATATTATAGTTAAACAGTAAGTTGTAGTATGGTTCTGAAAACACTGAGGTGAGACATGAGCAACTCAGTAACAGAATCTTGGTTTATATTTGATCAGCACTGCTTAGTTTCACCATTAGATCTTTCAGACTTTTACAATACAGGAAACGGTATAATGTCCACTTCCTGTTCACAAACTCTTGTATTACAGCTAAACAAAGCACTAAAATATTTTTCCAAAGACATTTTAGGCAAGAAATAGGCAATACAGTGACAGAATCTGGGATTATATTTGATCAGCACTGCATAGTTTCACCATTTGATCTCAGTTTTTCAGACTCCATTTTTACAATACCTTATAACGTCCACTTCCTGTTCACAAACTCTTGTATTACAGATAAACAGTGCACTGAAATATGTTTCTGAAGACATTTCATGTGAGAAATAGGCAATACAGGTACAGAATCTTGGTGTTTATTTCATCAGCACTGCCTAGTTTTACTATTTGATCTGAGTCGGAAACAAAGACAGAGAGAGAGAGAGGCGGCCCTGGAGCTGGATGATGTGATCTTCACAAGATGGAGGGATGTTTATCACAGTTCATTCACACATACTACCCACATTGTCATGAGCTTGGTGAAAATCAGCAAAGTTTCCCTTTAAGTAACTAAAACTTTATAACAGAAAAAATAAATAAAATGTATTATGTCATATTTATGCATTAAAAATGTCTTTGTGTCTTTATGTTAATGCAACAGCAGTACTGATAGGCCTTTATCACAGAGGAGATTTTGACATGTGGCTGTAGGAAAAGTGTAGGTGTTAATAATAAAATGAATGATGGCTGAATTCCATTTAGTTGCTTCAGGTTCTGGGTCCTGGTACTGTGCGTGCTGGCTCACTGTCACACTGTCGCAGCTTACTGGGACACATGACTAAAACAGCGCAGTCGTTATTGTTATCAGTAACACCTGTGCTCAACTCGAAATGGCCAATTCAAGTAACCACATTTTAGAAGCCGTACATTCTCGTGATGTATGTGCTCTCAGTTATTACTGTGGAATCCTAACCTGTGTGAGGGGCAGTGGTGTGTTACGCAGTAGTTGGCTCGTGAGGCTCATCCCTTGTCGTTTAGTGTCTGCACGGATCAGGAGCTGTGTGCTCTGTGTGTCAATGAGTTCCTCTGTTCCTTCGTGTTAGCTCGGGGCTTTTGAATTTACATGAAAGCAGGACCTTAGCTGCGCCTCGCCAACACTCAGCCAAATGTGTTTACAGTCTACGTGGCTATATTTAGTCCTGACATGTCCTTCATTTGAATTATGTCAGTGAACGTGACTTGAGTGACATTTCTTCATGTGTTGTTACTGTCGTACCGTCATTAGGTGCTGCAGTTAGAGAGTATTTTTACAGCAGTTCTGCTTCGTTGGATGATACACTGCGCTGTGGGAAATAGACGGGAGCAAAGAAAGAGAAAGGAAACATGTGAGATAGCCTTGGAGCAGGACTCACACCCACAGCATCCTGGGACCATTGTATGTGGTGATGAATGACAAGGACACATCAGCTGTTTCCCCTGGTCTTTAATGTGTCTCTGTTCCTTTACAATTGTATTATGTCTGAGCAGAGGGGGGTGTGACATAGCTGCTCTACAAGTGCATTTAACTAATGAGAAAAGTGCATGAGACATAACCCTGTTGTATCCTACAGACAGTCAAATTTATGTTTTTGAATTAAGGGGATTTCTCCAAAGACGAGCATCCACAAATGGAAATGTAGCCAGTCTTTTGCCCCCGTGTGTAACAGAATATGACAGTATTTCAATCCATCAAAATAAATGTCAATGTGGCATTTGGCTGTCAAACCCTGTTAGCCCCCACATCATGAGCCATGTCAGACAAAACATGTCTGCTCCTGGAGGTCTTTACTTTCCCGGAGATTACAGATGACACCTGCTCTGTCCTTGTCCATCTTGTGTCCAGGTTTGGGTGTCCTCAGTGACAGAGATCAGGCCAGGGGATCTGAGGGCACAGGACATGGACACGCCCCCAGCCGAGCTGCACTTTATGGTAACCCCACCTAGCAACGGACACTTGGCCCTGAAGAGCGCCCCCATGAAGGCGGTGCTCAACTTCACCCAGGACCACATCGACCAGGGACAGCTGCTGTTTGTCCACAAAGGTAAACTTTGTTTCTCTGTCACCTACTGAAGTTCAGACACTGCACAGCAACGGAGAAGCCAGAAGAGACTCATTTTGAATCACAAAAGCCAGAAATTTTATGCTTTAGAAAAACACACAGCAAAGGGGAAACAGGCAGTACAGAAGATCTCCCCAAACTACAAACTGTAGTAACTATATAAGAAATTATTTGTAAGATAATTAGTGATTAATGTAAAAAAACAGACATGCAAAACACAGCCTAACTTCTCCAGTTGAAGGTGATATTTTTTTGTATTACAAGTTTTCTGAAATGTTTTTGTCTAAAAATGCACATGAGGAATTATCTATTTAAGTATACATTTTAGGAACATAAATCTGAACATTGGATAGGGCCTGGTTCAAATCCCTTGTTTCATTTCGTGACATAGTAGGAATCAAATGTTTATACTGAAAAAATGTTGGTTATCTCTTTTTATTACTCCATAAATAAGAAAATACTGTCAGCAGCCATAAAAAAAAATAGAATTTTCACCACATTTTTAGAAATAAAATGCTCCATAAATCAGGCTATGAATTATATATGAAGAAACCTCTCAGTAAAAAGCTTCAGAATATAGATAGCAATAAAACTGGAAAGTTTGGTGAATGTAAATGCTAGCCTGAGGGTCAGACTGAAGCTCTCAGAACCTTCAGTCTGACATCGCCTCCATTGAAGGCGATTTACAAGGGGGAGGGAATTTGATTTTTCCCTAACCAATCAGTAGAGATCAACGACTCACCCAGAATCTGACGTCATTAGTATCCATGCCTCGGGGGTGCCGAAAACAAGCGAGCATTGCCCATTTAAAATGTCTCCGTCGTCATGCACGCCCAGCTGCATTGCCGTTAATCCAGTTTAGCAGCTTCCTTAATTTGGTCCTCCATTAACGCGAGTAGTGGCGAAATACCTCGATAGCATCGTTAATGTGGTCTGTAGGATCTGTAGCGGTCGCCGTTGTTGTTATCCTCACCAGTACCGGCGTACAGCTTGACATCAGCGTGGCACTGATTGGCTAATTGCTAGACCCACCCCCACCCCCGGCGTTCATTGGTCCGTCCATCGTTTGGACAAGATAAATCGCAAATTCATTGCATGCCAGACCAGAGATGCAAGCCTACTCAGTTGAGTGGGCGGGGTCTATGGTCTGGAACCAGGCTATGTAAATGCTACTACAGTGGAGATTTCTGCCTCAGAGTAAAAGAAACTTTGAGAAAGTGGCCTTTTAAAGATATGCATTTCTACATTTCATACATTTTTAGATAAAAAGAAATACAACAGGTGAATGGGTTAAAAACTTTAACTAACAAATATCATCATGAAACTTCCCCAGGTGCTTACTTACATTTTGAAATAATATGTTTAAATATGAAAATGTGGTGTTATCTAATTAGGTATATGCAAACTTGCACACATTTCCAGAACAGAAATCCAAACTAAAATAAACCCCTTAATGTGTATTTTGGACGTTTATTTCCATTATTTTACACATTACATATCACATTCCTCTGTTTGGGGAGAGGTAAAGAAGAAGAGGGGAGGGGTACTGAAGAAGAAACAACTTAAAAAAAATAGGGTTGGGTGATAATTCAGTAATTCATTGCACACTGTAATCAGAAACTAACAAGAAGATACTTGTTTTTGTTTTATATGTGTGACGTTTTGTTTTAAAAAAAAGGGTGTCTGCAGATCCTTAAAAAGTCTTAAAATGTCTTAAATTCAAGTTTAGAATATCAGGCTTTAAAAGTCATTAAATAGTCTGAAATTTGAATTTGTGAGGCCTTAATTTTCACAAACATTTTACCTACTTTAATGTGTTGATTTTTTTCAAAATGGTCAAGCTCTTCTGCGTCAAGGTCCACATTTTTTTCATCATTTAAATTTTTATTGATTTTCTTTTAAACAGATAAAACAAAACAACAGTCCAAAACAAAAACAGAAAAACAGTCTACTGCAGCAACAAAAATATTTCACAGATGCACCCATATGTACTTCAATGTCATGAGCCCTTAATAAATAGACAGAAGTTATCCCAGACTTCAGCATGTGTTCCTGTTGTATTATTCATTCAAGCCAGTAAATCAAAGTTCACATTTTGGTTTTACTTTATAATTTATACATAAAACCTAGCTCTGCATGGGACTACATTTATACTACTTACCTTTATACTTAGCTGCAATGCTTGAATCAGAAAACATATGATTTGTCAAAAAATCAGACTTAAATGTGGTTTTGAATCATCTTTAAAAGGTCTTAAAAAGCATTGAACTAGTAGACACTTTGTTATGTAATGCTTGGATCACTGTTCAGCTTATTTAACAGCAGCTGTACTGTAACATATATTGATACTGGAAAATGATTCTTTTATATTGTGACATTGATTTCAATCATATTCCTCAGTCCTAAATATAACTTATAATGAATTTCTCTGAGATCAGTGTCTTTTTGTTCTCCCGCCTGCTTTGGATTTAATGCAGCAATACCAAACATAATTCATCTGTATTTTTTAGATCCCTAGATAACTTGTTGTTGTTGTTGTTGTTCCTTCTGTGTCCACTAGAGGATGCTGTTGACAGTTCCTAATGGTTTGCTTTGCTTTGTTTTTGTGTCTCACACAAAAAATCATCCACAGAAACAATGTGCATCTTTCTTTATTTGCTGTTAAATTACTTGCAACACTGATTCACAGTCTGTTTGGACGTGATAATATTTAATAGTGTGGAGGCTAAAATGCTGGATACAGTCCGTCAACATGTGATGGTGTGAGTCTCAGATCAGGTTTCTGCTCACTGTTCTGATTCCTATCTGCTTTCTTCTCTGCCTGTACTTGTACCACCAGGACAGGTTGTGATAATAGAGTGCAGGGGACTCACCCCACCTTATGTGTTGATGAACATGTCTGTCTTTTTTACACACATTTTCACACACACCTACACAAGTATAGACAATTGATTTTGATCGAGTGTTCCCTTATTGACTCAGAATGCAGATTGCTTGCATTGCAGTTTTCCTTGAGATCCGCACCAGGAATGCTGATCAAGTGATTTTCTTTGTGTATTTTGCAGAAAGCAGACGCAGCTTATTTTCCAAGAACAAAGTGAAAACATGCACTCGCAAAACAAAGCAGACAGATGAATCTGACAGTTGTGTCTTTTTGACAGCTTTTAATTAGATGTTTCATTGCATCTTTAGGTGCCATGTCTGGAGGATTCAACTTCCAAGTGAATGATGGTGTGAACTTCACTCCCAGGCAGATCTTCAGCATCACCGCCAGAGCCTTAGTTCTCAGCTTGGAGAGAAACCGTCCACTCAAGGTGTTTCCAGGTAAATCACCCACTGAATAGAGCCTCATCATTTAATGACAAGATGGGCATTGTTCTATATTTTTCACAGCCCAGTCGCAAGACGAAAATTTTTGCGTTGTACATCTCTGCAAACCATAAATACGTCACATTTGCACATTTCATACTCATCATATCAGTGTTTCTTCAGTGATGTAGTGTATGAGCTGACTTTATCAATCAGAGGAGGAAGGGATAGCGGATGTCGCCTGGGCCAGACACCTGCCAAACTGCAGACCGTCGTTTAAGAGCCAACAACTTACAAAACTGGTTGTAATTTAGCCACCAAACATGGGTGTTTTTAGCAACCCATTGCTGTTTTTCCACAGGGGATAGTGCCACAAAAAGCAGCTGTATTTTACCAAGACATCACTGCAGTTCATGCCAGGATCATGCCACCAAAAGGGGATATTTTAAGCCAAAACGTATATCACCCCCACCCTCACCTCCGGAAGAAACATTGCCAGATGATGCAAATTGATGCTAAAGACGTCATCCAGCAGTTTCGCTGGCGCTCTCGGGTTGTTGCTTGAACTACAGGTGTATTTGTCAAGCAGCTGTCCGATAGTCACTCACTTTACAGCAGGAAATGGAGCTTCAAATTAAAAGCTTTTTGCTGGAAATTCACTGAACTTCAAAATAAATTGTGGTTTTTACAAACTCCATTCATTTAATTCAGAATGGATCCACGACCCACCAGTTGGGAACCACTGCTGTAAACAATACGTCACAGCAGCCGTACACCTTTTGGATATTTGCTTTTCCATTTTAGGTTTGCAATAAGCAAACAAGACTAAACCAAACTTTGTTTTTGTATAAACTGAACGTTGCATGTTCAGTGTTTAAAGTCCTTCTCTGTAAAGACTTTTTCATGAAATACATATAAACAAATGTGCACTTTCCTGGCACAGTGCTCAAGAAGGGCCGTAAACATGCAGCTCTCTAGGTTGGAAACATGCTCATTGTCAATCTAGAAAAAGGAATAACCAAAAAAAGAATATACGGAGCAGAGTCCAAAAACTAAAACAAGAGCAGCCAAAGCCTAATCTGCACAGTCAAATACTGGCATGTGTCATGTCATGTAAATAGCATGTCACAAATTGCTGCTGACATTAATGGCTTCCTGTTGCAGTCATTAGTGTTTCTGATCATTAGTGTTTCAGTTCTCTCTTGAGATCACAAGCGTTTTGGAAGCATAATTTCTCTTTTATAGGCTTTTGTGTTATGATGAAACTACACAGCTGCTTCCTGAAAATGAAGTGAAACAACTTATTTTCGTCAGTTTCTTGGTCGTCCACTCACACAGATGCTTTTTAGTTGAACTATTATTATCCATACGCAGAGCGCTGATTTCCTCTTTTTTGTGTCTATTGTTAGGGTCCAGCTGAAGATTATGTGAGTGTGTGTGTCTGTGTGTGTCTGTGTGTGAATTCAAATAAGTATTTCACCACTAGAAAGATGGCCTTTTAATAAAACTAGGATGTCTATGCAGGAGAAAGGCACAAATACTTTTGAAATTGCTGCTACAGAACCAGAGCAAACAGAAAAAGGACACGTTGATTCATGAGGGAGAAAACCTACAACTACCAGAATGCACTGCACCACACCAGACCAATAAATGCTCCCAATGGTGGGTGACATAATGTGAACACATCCATTTGAAACAATGGCATGCCAACAAGAAACAATCTTGTATTACAGTTAAACAGTGAGCTAAAATATGTTTCTGAAAACATTAGAGGCGATAAATATTCGACTTAGTAACAGAATCTTGGTTTATATTTGATCAGCACTGCTTAGTTTAACTGTTTGATATGTTTTTACAATACTGGAAACAGTATGGCGTCCACTTCCTGTTCACAAACTATTGCACCTAAACACAGCACTGAAATATGTTTCTAAAACATTTAAGGTAAGAAATAGGGAGTGTAGTATATCAAAATATTGATTTACGTTTGATCAGCACCACCTAGTTTTACCCTTGGATCGGATCAGTCTGTTGATCTCTTAAAGCCTGTTTAGACGTTTTATTAAAATGAGTTTTGGGTGATCTGATCACACGTGGACGGTGCTAAATACAAATCTAAACAACCACCAAGACACACTGTGATCCGATCACGCAAACTACTTCCTGAGGTGGTCTGGGACGCATTTGACCACATATCTTTTGTTGTGTAAACACTGTGTCCTGATGCGTCCCCGACAAGAACTATGTCATCGGTGCAGGATGTAATTGCTGTTTTGGCTCTATAACTGTCCAATTGTAGGTCGAGTTGGACGAAGTGTTGCGTGACCTCTCCTCATTTTGCCCTATGGAAGGAGACTTGTTGAATTCCGCAGACAGGGATATCTCCAGCTGTACTGACACAACCATCGCTAACATGACTAGCACGCATGCTACAGCAATGTGAAAAGCGATGTGTCTCGGCTGTCCGTTTGTGTTTGGATCACCGAAACGCATGTTAATACCAGGTCTAAACAGGCTATTTGTGTTCATGGTGGAGATACGGGTAGGGGGCAATACGAAAATGGCAAAGTATAGTCTGCAGTTCAAGCAACAACCTGAGAGAGCCAGCGAAACTGCCAGATGACGTGTTTTGCATCAGTTTGCATCATCTGGCAGTTTTGCCTGGAGGTGAGGGTGGGCGATATCTAGGCAGTGTTTAGATAGAGGGAAGTTTACCACAGTTCACACACTACCCACATTGTTTTGATACAAAGCTGGTTGAAAGTTGGTGAAGTATCGATTTAAGGAGAATCTCCAAGTTAAACTTTCATGCACTTATAAATTCACACCTCATGAAAATTTGTGTGTTAAAGAATGTGATGTTCCCATCAGGATGCTCACGATGGTGCAAGAGTAGAAATTCCTGAGGGGGTAAAAGGTGAAACAGTCTCTGTCTCGCCTTTGTCACCGCTGAGTCTGTATGCAATGACTTTTAATATATCAAAATGAAAAACATGTACATTACTTTTCCTTCCTAATTTTTGCTGCTAATAAAATGTTGCCTGTTAGCTGTCACCGATCCTCAAAGACATGCGCCAAGCAGGTTAAGAGGACGCGTGAGCACCAATGAAATATTATTATGTTGATATTTAAAGTAATAAGGTGACATGATTAACTTTAGGGGCTTGAATGTGTTTAACCAAATTTAACAGTAAGCCATCCAACAGTAGTGAAGACATTTCACTCAAAACCACAAGACGGAGAAGAGAGAAAACCCCGGCAGTGTGTGTGTGTGTGTAGGTGGGTGTTTGTGGGCCTGTGTGTGTCTGTGGCCTCTCATTTACTGTATTTCCCAACACTGAACCTGCTACAGTCTCTGTTCAGATGGTATAGTAATTCAGCACCTTTCCAGCAGCCAAATACCAGACTGATGAATCAGCTGACATTTCTCAGTGTTTTGACGTACGGTATGCTACTTTTTTTTAGCTTTCTTGCTGTCATCAGTGTCTGCAAAGACGTTTTAAGATTTTCTGCCATTTCCAGAGGTCTGGTTTGTGAGTAAGAAGGAACGGATATTGTGGGGGTAGCAAACTGCCAACTGGCACGCTCTGCTGAGCTTCCCAGCCACAGGGTGAGTGGGTACTTGAAAAGCTGTGCCACTGTCTGTCTGAGGCAGCCCTGTTTGTGCTTTGTGCCAGGCGGGGCAGAGGGAGGGGAGGGACGGGAGCTCTAAGTGACAATGAAGGGTTTTGATGGGGCGAGGGGGTGACATGAAACACTTTCACGCTATGGACGTGAGATTAATGTTTTTCCTCTTCCTTAAATGTCTGGGTGCTCTCTGTAAAACCGTGCAGAGACTCCTCACTAAATGGTTACATGTGACTCATTAAGAAACCAGCGTTTACCTGTGTGTGTTCTGACAGGAAGTCATTGTGGCGGCCTGCAAATGCCACACAAGACCTCTTGGTATGAGGACATTTACTGATACTATCACTGTCAGGCTCTTGTTGAATCAGGGCTGAGCAATGTATCAATCTTATATCGATATCTTGATATGAGACTGGATATTGTTTTAGATTTTGAATATGAAATATTTGAAGTGTCCTGGTTTTAAATGCTGCATTACAGTAAGGTGATGTAATCTAGTTGCTCTATTATCTGCTTATACCCACTTAGTCATTATATCCACATTAATGATGATTATTTATCAGTAATCTCATGGTGTAAATATTTTGTGAGAGCACCAATAGTCGACCCTACAATATTGTCACAATATTGATATCGAGGTATTTGGACAAAAATGATATTTGATTTTCTCCATATCGCCCAGCCCTATGTTGAATACATGAAGCTAATTATTTAATGGACATTTTTACTGTTACACGGTGACAGTGGGAATATACAGACAGCGTTATGCTCGAAAAGGAGTTTGTACAACATGTTTTCCAACCACATCTGATGCAAAAGTCTTTATAGCTGTTTCAAACGGCCACATTTTTTGTTTTTGTTTTTCGATATTTTTTGGGGGCATTTTTGCCTTTAATCGATAGGAGAGTCAAGCGTGAAAGGGGGAGAGAGAGAGAGAGGGAGTGACATGCAAAGGGCCACAGGCTGGAGTCAAACCCAGGTCGCTGCGGCAACAGCCTTGTACATGGGGCGCCTGCTCTATCCACTAAGACACTGACGCCCCCCAAATGGCCACATTTGAAGGTGGAGTAAAAGCATGGCCGCCATGTAGAGAGGGGATACATGATATCTTTTAAACATGGGGAGTTTCAGAAGTTGGGGACACACAATGAAATATAGAAATAATTTCTGAAACCGCTACCTGGCCAGTGGTTCCCAACTGGTCCAGCGTTGGGGTCCAGATTTTTCCTCAGTCATTAGTTCAGGGTCCACACAGTTTAATACTTTCAGCATCATACTTGCATTTAGCCATGTCTTTTAGCTAGTTTGCTGTCTCTGTTAAGTAGGCCAGCTGTTTGTTAGTCACTCACTCTACAACAGGAAACAGCTCTTCAAACTAAAAGCTCTGTGCTGGATATTCACAGCCTGACATGTTCCTGAGTCACTTGCGGTCCATTCAGAATGGACCCTTGACCCCCTTTTGGACCACAACCCACCAGTTGGGAACCAGTGTACTGGGTAGTACCCTTTTTCTGAGTAGTATATGCAGGTTTTCCTTTCAGGCTACATACAGTTACAACAACCTCCGTCATGATGGTAGGATAGCCTGTACGTATCTAGATGGGCAAAACCCATGGCAATAAAAGTTCGGCAAGGACTGGCATGCTTGTTAAAGGTCTACTGTAGGGTTTAGTAGACCCTAGTGGTGAGGCGGCAGATGGAACCCAACTGAAACTTCTCCTGTGTGCCAAGCGTGTAGGAGAACTATAGTGGCCAATGTGAAAATGCAAACAGCCCTGTCTAGACCCACTGTTTGGTTTGTCCATTCTGAGCTACATAGAAACAACCCAACGGGCTCAATGCACGAGAACCCACTTTGTATGTAGATATAAACAGCTCATTCGAAGGCAACAAAAACAAGATTTTATTTTCAGGTGATTATACACTAATGAAATCATAGTTATGAATATTTTATTCAATGTCTGCCAGTAGATGCCCCTAAATCCTATACACTGGAGCTTTTATGTTCATTTCTCTGAGCACACATTAAGATGAAAATATCTCTGTTTTTATGAGCTTGAATCATCTGGACCTCGGTAGCTGAACAGAAAGAGAACAATGTTAAACTTAAAGGGCGCAGTGCTGTTAAAAATATGGATTTATTGATACATATTGGTCCTGAATATTTGAAACAGTTAATACACCAGTACCAGCTCCTGCTCTCTCTTATTGTCAGTGTTTACTGCAGTCAGTCTGCTGCCTGTACTGTGTTACTAACCAAGAAAAGTTGTCGTCAGGTTGTAGCCTTGTTAAATTTATCTGTTATTAAAAATATGAAATTGTATGAACTTAATATCTTTATTTCCCTGTGATCTGAAGTGCTATATCATAGGCAGCTGGACTTGTTTGAGTTTCTTGAAGATATTTCGCCTCTTGGATGAGAGGTGAAATATCTTCAAGAAGCTCAAGCACAATGATATAGCACTTGAGATTACCATGACCTGGATGACTGAGAATCTTCACCAATTTATTTCCCTATGGTATTGAAAATTGATATTTTGCAAGGTATTATATTGAAGTTAGATCTTCCATTATTGAAAAAAGCAGGATCTTGAAAAGTGAAGGTGACACATCCTCTCCATCCTCAGTGGAAAGTATGACCATGGGGGAAACAATGCACACTTTCAGACAGGAAGACTTTCATTGCCTTAATTTGCCTTTTAAGATATTCTATTATTGATTCTCCATGTGTTCCTCTAATCCCTCATCATCATTATCATTTTATAGACTCTTATTATCCCATATGCCGTTAAAAACATGAACCACACACAGTGAATATTTATGGTGTGTTTGTGCATGTTTTTTTCTTACATGAGTCTCCAATTCCCAGAGTGGCACACATTTTTCTCATCTAACAGACAGCCTAAACAACTCAGTGTTTTGGAGAAGTGTTTTGTTTGTGTTGTGTATTTTGTTTATATTCCTGTTAGCATTTTACATGCTGCACAAATGTCTGACAATATAGTGAAACCCATGTTGTGCTGATTTCGAGCAAGACGGGTTTCTGTTGTAAAAAGACAAGAAAGCCCGTCTCTCCGTCTTCCTCTAAGAGGGAAATTTCCCATGACAAGGATGGTGGGAGTGCTCACGACAAGTGATGAATGAATTTCACTGTGCTTTGACCCCTCTTTCCCTCTATCATTGGCTTCCATCATTTATCAGCAGTCTTTTTTTAGGATTCTCGCAATCTTCATAGTGGCAGCAGAGCTATGGAAATCTATGTAATTCATCGTAAGAGGAAGAAAAGAGGCTCTCAGTAGTCAGTCCCCGTCATCGTGCACAGGAGATGTCTCTCTTTACATTTTCCCCAAGTGGAAGATTTCTGCGCCTGCAAGGAGCTGATCCACTTTTAATTTCTTGTTTGGAATTTATGTAACACCCCGCACTGCAGTTGGACAGCGCTGTAAAAAAGCCTGTGATGTCTGCAGTGCAGCTTTAATTTGACACATCAAAGGACTCACATCGGTCTATTCCAGAGCTTGTTTTGCATAATTTGGTGTCAAAAAGATGTGAAACGCTTCCAGAGGGGAAAACTTGCAACATTTGATGCAGCCACACAAGAAATTTAACAGTGTGGCGACAGCTAAACTGAACACCAGACAAGAGAAACTAATTTTCTTGACAGATATAGTTTCATGATCAATTATCCAAACCACTTCACCAATAATTCTCTTAATTCAATTTTGTGTCTTTCCTCCAGGCTCCTCTACACCAGTCACAAATGAAATTTTACAAGCAGTGACCAATGACATCAGCAACGCCACAAACCGCATTATTACATTCAGTCTGATTCGGCATCCTAAACTGGGACGTCTGGTGATGACACGGCCCGATAATTCAACAGTGGACATCTCCACTTTCACACAGGAGATGGTGAGTGAAGAACTGGAGGTCAAATCAGTACTCTCTCATTTTACTTTATTTTGAAATGAAATAAAAGGGGTGTGAACCAGGTCAGGATTAAACATTAGGGTCCCTCCATTCATGTGGAAAGTTGCCAGATTTCCACAGTATGAATAATATATACTCTGCATCCTCATTCAGGAAATTGACTTTGTGCTTCTTAAGCTGAATGGAACATGTGAGGCTTTTATGTGATCAATTATTTCTGATAGATTATCATCTGGCACAGTTAAAGCTATGGTGCTGTACACTTTATTTACTGCTGAGCAAAGCAGATTTAAATTAATGGTGAAATCTTATACATACTGTTGTAATGTCTTTCAGGATGGTGAAGAGCTATTTAGGCCACTGAGCTGTTTACACACTTGACTAAGTCATCAGTTCACTTTAGGGATGGCTGATCTGCATGTTGTGCAAATTTGTTGATGTGAGTTTATTTTGGATTGTGGGTTTGCCTGAGGATCTGTGGTGTTTTTGTACCCCAGGTGGACAGAAAAGAGGTTGTTTACATCCAGACCCCCGTCGAGTCAGTGGGCTGGGAGGCCATGGACTCCATGACCTTCTCTGTGGCATCACCGCCTACTTCTCTGGACAGCCAGACCTTCAAAATTGACATTTCTTATGAGAACACTGGACCTGAACACAACACAGTCCTGCTTGCAAACACAGGTATGAACACAAGTGTGAACAAGAGTAAAGCAAGTAGGATTCTTACTCTGTTAACCATCTTAGTTTAGCGAGTTAGCATTCTTTCCTAATTAGCACTAAACACAAAGTACTGCTGAGGCTGATGGGAATGTCATTAGTATTGCAATTATTTTGTCACAGAAACTCTGACTTTGTGATAAATGAATGGTCATAATTCATAATGAGGGCAACATGAAGTACCATGCATAAAAATGTTCATGATAATCCATCAAATAATAGTCTTTGAGACATTCACTCAAAACTTAAAGGCACTGTATGTAAGAATGTGGCCAAAACGGTTACTGCACTCAAATTCAAAATACTGCAGCTAGTCGTGTCCGCCCCCCCTCCTCTACAGATTTGAGGTTGCTGGACAGCGGCTTGCTGGAGACTGATTTGTTTGCTCACGAGCGGCTGCCGTGGCAGGGCCGCGTCGCCGCGTCCGTGATCTTCGGTTTTCCAGCGGACCATTCGAGCAAGTCCGGCTTCTCTGCTGCTAATGCTGCTGCCGGGATACAGCTGAGGAGGAGCCAGCTGCTAATGCTATGTACCGGGACACTGCTAATGCTGCTTGCCGTGCTGCTGTAGCTCAATCGTAACTGTAACTGATGCTGAGACTCTACTGACTGTGTGACTGGTAGACGGCGGTGGGTGGCTCAACAGGCCAAAACACAAATTCAAAGCATAAACATGATTTGCGGACCGTAAAATATTTTTTTAAATGCGAATATTCTGGCCGTACTATTGTTGTCGGGGAGATCAGTATGTTATATGAACATTATTCCTTAGTCTCTGTGACATATTAGGATGATTTTATGACTACTTGCTTTAGATTTCTTACATATAGCTCCTTTAAAATGTCAACCTGTAATGGAAGTAAAATCATGAGATCGCCAAAGTCAGTAGGCTTTATGGCCAAAATACATAGGGGAACAGACATGCCCGACATGTCTGCTGCAACATGCCCGCAACAGAGCGCATCCCTTATAACCAAGTGACGCTGCCACACTGCCCACAGAAGCCACACACACCTGCATGGGCACTGCTTCCCTCTTGTTTTACCCAGCTGGTCTATTTTTGTTCTCTACAAGCAGCTATGTAAAAACTACATTGAACCAGCGTTGGGTACTGTTCACATTTCAGCCAGGCCTGGTACCTGGAATTAGGCACTGGTACCCAACAATGCCTTTTCTTGATACTTTACTTTTTCTGTAATAACAAAAATATTTTTTTTAACAAACTGCAGGGGTGATAAAGTAGACTACAACACAATTCTGCTCTTTTGCTCTTTTTAAATCACACTTAAAGCGAATCCTCTGTCTCTGTCTGTCTGCTTGTGTGTGTTTCTGCTCATCTAGCAGTGATACTAGGTTATTACTAGAATAATACATTTAAAATATTTATTAATCTGTTTAAAAATGCTAAAAGCTAATACCACATTGTGCCAGAGCCAGTGCAATGCAGCATAGCAACCTTGTGGATGTTTTTACATTTCACATTAAAACAAAATCGATGCATCCTGTTGTTAAAATATTCCAGTTAATTAATTCAGTATCAGTTAATATAGCCAATACTTCCAAACCCTGCATAACTAACAGCATAATCACTTGGCAAAACACAATGTGCACACAGTGATGCTGGCATACAACCACACATTACAAAGACAGGTCAGGTAAAAAAACCCACTCTATCCAGACTACATGACCCGTCGCTTCTGTACCATGGCTGTTATCCTCAGGGGACTACGAATGTCTTAACGTTATGCTAGTCCATCCAATAGTGGTTAAAAATTTCAGTCTTGACCAATGTGGTGAACTAATCAACCAGCAGACTGACATTGCCATAGGCATGGCTAAAACCTACTGACTCAACTGTTGTTTATGTTTTTATTACTTAAAAATGTTGGTGATTAACGTAATGTTTGTTTGGTGCTAGGTGCTGAGGTAACAGAAGGGGAGAGTGTTGTCATTGATGAATCCAAGCTGGACGCCTCTAACCTAATGTCCAAGCTGCCGACGCCTCGGCGGAGCTCCAATGAGGTTTGGTTCCAGGTGACATCACTGCCTCAACATGGTGTCATAGTGGTAGGTGAGAGAAACCTCACCAAGGACAAACCTAACTTCTCCCAGTTCATCGTTAACAAATACGGCATCACCTACAAGCACGACAACTCAGAGACAACTCATGACTCTTTTGTATTCAGCGCATGGATAAATCCCAAGGGCAAAACGGCGCAGCGCCCTCAGGATGACATGGATGTTGTTGAGGAGCGTTTTAACATCACAGTCACACCTGTAAATGATCAGCCACCTTTGTTAAAAACCAAAGCTCCGAGTCTGAGGGTGGTACAAGGAGATACAGTAGCTCTCAGGCCTGAGAATCTCAAAGTGGAAGACTTAGACAATCCTCCTGATGATATTAAGTTCTCTGTAATTAGCAAGCCAAACAATGGTTACCTAGCTCTTGAGGGAAGTTTGAATGAGTCGATAGTGGCCTTCACCCAAGCCCAGATCAACAACAGAAGTGTCTATTTCATCCATGACGGAAGCTCTGTCTCTGGGGTGTTCTACTTCAGTGTTACGGATGGTCATCATAAACCAATATATAAACTCTTTAACCTAGAAGTGACAGAAATCACCATTTCTCTGGTCAACTACACTGGATTGACACTGGAGCAAGGCAAGACTTCTGTAACACTGACCCAAGACAACCTTTCTGCTGAGACCAACGGGAAAAACATCACCATCCATTACCAGATTACAAGGCCTCCGAACTTTGGCAAACTTCTAAAAGACAACCAAGAGGTTACACAGTTCGGACAGGAGGATCTACAGGCTGGAAGGTTGTCCTACCACATGATCTCCCATTCCTCTTCAGAGGACAGCTTTGAGTTCAATGCCTTCACTTCAGAGGCAAATGTGACCGGCCAAGTGTTTAACATAACTGTCAGACCATTGATCCAGGTGGGGAAAGGTTTGAGCATTCCCAATGGGATCACTGTCAAACTCAATGCCAGCTTTCTTGATGCCTCTGAACTGGCTAATATCAGTGACAGTAACCCTATATTTGAAGTTATCTCTCATCCCAGGCATGGGAAGGTGGTTTGGACAAAACCTAAAATATTCAGGAAAGCTGACCAAGCTGAGTCCTTCACCTTTCAGGAGGTGATGCAGGGGAAGGTAGCCTTGGAGCTGAATGCTAACATGACTGGAGTTCAAGAGCTTAATGACTCACTGGTGTTTGTGCTGAAAGCTGATAACATCCCACCTGCTAAAGGGGAGTTCCACTTTACAATTGTGCCATATGATCCAGCGCTTTTCCCAACCACAAAAAGTCCTGTTCCAACCACGTCATCTATTCATCAGACGCCTATCCGCACCTCAAGAAATGGAACTGCCTCACCAGTCCTGTCTACAGCTTTCCTCTCCACCCAGCAGCCAAGCAAAAACCAGCAAAAATTCAAGGGACGCAACCGCTGGGGAAACTCCAACAGAACTAGCATTTTCAGCACAACTCTTGGCAAACCTACACACGATACAGATGATTTTCCCTTCAGGAACACACCAGTACGTGTAGAGTCCTACCCTCAAAAAACCTCCAGTCCGCTCCTGGTTATCTTACCACTGCTGGCTCTGCTGCTGCTCGTAATCATCTTTGTAGTCCTGGTTGTCTTTCTGCGACACCACAGGCAAAGGAAGCAGAGCCCCGCTGCACCAAAGGAGCCACCTTCTACTAGTCTTCCAGGCAGTCAGTCCTACCAGGGTCAAACCCAGAGGAGCACAACAGTTCCCACAGTGACTGTCACTCCATTAAACCCCATGAACCCCAGCTGCCCAGGAAGCCCTGTTCTTGATCGGTTATTGACACCAAATCAGGGCTCAGGTTATAACACCATCGATTCAAACATGCTCGTAAGTTCTTGGAGTAATGGTTCCCCTGCGTCATCTTCCCACATTATTAGAACCACCACGCCCACTCTGCAGAGGAATCAGTACTGGGTATGATCTTCCACAAACTGACTTGTAGCTATATGTGTTGGAGAACACGGTTTCAGGTTTTGATAACAGATTAAAACGTGGTTGTGTATTTAAATGAGGTTGCAATAAATTAGCTTAAAGTTGCATTAATCAGTATTCAGACTCAGAATTATCATCTTTGCAGCGTATGGAGCCTTTTAATCTCTTTTAGCTCATTGTTTTAGATTTTTTCTGTCAAGAGTTGGTGGAACCTAAACCAGAGCTAAAAGGCAATAGTTTGCTGGCAACATTGGAATAACAACTTTAAAGGGGCCATAATACTGTACATCAAGGCTGTGTTAGCTTATTTTTGAGTTCTTTTGCCCTCTAGTGGCCATTAATAGATTGATGTAGCTTTAAAAATGGATAAGGTAGAAAACCACTGTAGCCAAAATCCTTTGCTGTACCTAAATCAATATTTTTGTATTAATACTGAATCAAATTACAGTGCTGTGTATAAGGTTTCACCGGTATTGACAAACTCAGACTTATCACCCAACTCACCCAACAGTTTTTAGCCTCTCTTAGCTCATTGTTTTAGTTTTTACTGCACATTACTTTATAAAGTTAAGCACATACCAAGCTATAGACCAAGATTTTTTTGTCAAGAGTTGGTGGAGGGTAAACCAGAGCGTCAAATTAGGTCATGCTTTGCTTGCAACATTTGGAATAACAACTTAAGAAAGGGCATAATAATGTTTATGAAAGCTTGGTCAGCTTATTTTTGAGTTATTATGCCCCCACATATTTTTCTGTCAAGAGCTGGTGGAGGTTAACCAGAGCTAAAAGGTCACCATATAACCACAAACACAGCTCCACTGGGATGATAACATTACTCTGTTTGCGCTGGATGAATACTTAAGCAGTTTCTTGCTTGCAACTTTTAGAACAACAACTTTATAAGACGTTGTCAAGGTTGTGCAGGCCTGTTTTCGAGTTATTCTGCCCCCTAGTGGCCATAAATTGATTTATGCAGCTTTAAAGTTGGATAAAGCAGAAAACCTATATGGCCAAAGTCCTTTTGCCATACGGACAGCTTTAGGTTTTCTTTGAGCCGCACAGTCCATTGAATCATTAGTTTACAACCACTGCTGTATATTGAATTGTTGGAACAGACTTTGTCCACTTGAGCATTTACAAAGCGATCATCATTGTGGTCAGTTACAACCTATGTTTGGTGCCTAACGTATGTTTAATCATTGTTATCTGGTCCTCATGCACGTTGAAGTCTCTTCCAGTATGGGTTATGATCACCAGAGTGGAAGTGATGCTTGTAACAGCTTGAAACTGTGAATTACGAAGACTGACTCTGGCACAAAGATGTATAATCCAAGCATTTCAATTGATTGTGCAGATTTTATATTGTTGTTATGTATTATATATTATAGTATATTAACGTTTTGTAACTCAGGTATTTTGTTAAGTCATTTACTTCATGTTACCTTGAATGAGGGTTGCATGTCTCGTCCATAATTAAGACTTTTTTTAACAGCATTACAGGACTGAATATTATAGAACTGACAGTTGTCACAATACTTCTGAGCATGGCTGTATATTGGAATGGGGCACTGACAAGGCTGGTTTTGTATCACTATTATTTTTTATTCAGTAGACCTGATCAAATCACAATGGTTAAGATAATAGCACTGTTTTTCAAGTTTTTTTTATTATTATTTTACTATGCACAGTATTTATATATTTTCAAGAAGAAGCGTACGAAAAATCAAGGCACTGATCTTATGGATTACACAGATCTACACTGTATTCTACCTGCCTTCACCTCACTGATTGAAATTGAAATAACAGGCTTATTCTGTAATCTACTGACAGGTTCCCCAACAGCTGAATAAAGCGATGGGTCCACCTACTTTTGAGGAGATTGAGCAGCTAACTCAAAAAACACAGAGAATTTCTTTGAATAAATGAGTGCTGGCATTTATAATAATTATTTAACTCTGATCTATCTACTGTAGGTTGGCGGTTTGACACTGTAATGATGTATCTACTGTAAATGAACGGTACTGTTCTGACGAGCTGTGGGACACAAGAAATTGCTGTCACAGAAAACCACTGTAAACTTGTATGTTATGAATCATTTTGTACTGAAGAGAAGTGTCTATCCAGTGTATTCCAGTCTCATCTGAATGATGTAACCTACTATGTAACAGAGGTGTGATATTTATTTATACCATATTTTTAATAAACCATTTTAAAATGTTTGCATTTGCAGTTACTTTCTACTCTCAACCTCTCTCAATCATACAGCTTGTGTATAACCTGCAAAATTCTCCCCTTATTTCTTCCACTTAAATGAGTTTTTGGCAGTTTTCCCTGTCACTATAATTTAAACTGTACTTCTAGTCCGTGGCCCTCCTCTTAATAGTACTTTACTCATTGCAAGCAAAGATCCACTGCGCCAGAGGACCAATTAGAAAAAGATTAATTATCATCATTGCTTCCCTCAGCTTCCTGCAATTACTTTAATTGTGGTTTTCTCACATCCAAAAACAATAAAATCAGCAGGTCTTTGTCACATGATAGGCACTAAGGTGTTGTGTGTTTTCCAAATATCCACCAAGAATGTCAGTGGATACCCAGAGGTTGAACATGTAATGCGATTTGGAAAAGCACAAGGATCTTTTTCTGCAGCTGCAGCTTCACTGATGTGACTCAGTCCACATGACTGACGGTATCATGTGAAGAAAGCAATTGCTTGTTTTCCTGACCTGGAACATTAAATTCTGGGGACATTAAGGATGTCTGCCACATGTGCACAGGTGTTAATTACTGATTACAGTGAGCTCACAAAGAATACAAATAGTTTCGCCAAAAATGCAACGAGGTCAGGATTCGTACACAATCGGAGCTGATGTGCTAAATGGGCTTGTTGACAGTAAATGAGCTAATAGGAGCGGTGAGCAATGGCATCACATGAGAGCTGCAAACTTAGCACAATGATGTGAAGCCACACAGTCCATGAAGAGGAACTTAACTGAGATGCTATTGTTAACCACAATATAGTCATTTATTTAAAAGGAAATTCCAGCAATCATCAAATCATGCAGGAGTGGGCAGAGTCAGTCTGACACACGTAGTGCAGGAAAAGATGAACTGCACAGTCGAAGATGTACCCTAACATGTGCGTGCAAGCACTCCTCTGATACAGTGGTTGAACTTTTCACCATTACCTTCTCCACCAGCCACAATCCAGATAAATTTAATCCCAATTCAAAATCAGAATACATTTTTTTGGCCAAGGAAGTTGACCCATTCACTTGCCAAAAGGACTTGTTTGCATTGAACACTTTTGTAAACCACAGATACATTATTTCATTATTTTTTAGTGGATATGTTGAAACTTTATATTCTTCAACAACACTGTAGTCAAGGTGTGGTTAGGTGTAGGCAGAAGAGTCTCTTACGGATAGGAAAAGCTCATAAGCCCCCAAAAAGCCGCAGGATAAGCAGGGACAGGCAGGTGAAAAACAGGTTCGATGGCTTTAACGCTGCCAGGAAACATAGCAATGTGTCACTAAAACACACTCGTGGTTAGCTGAGGTGATTCACCATCCACGATCCCCTCCACCTCTCGATGACAAAGTCAGCTGATAAATTACGTCATTTAAAAAGCAGTAATATGATACTTACAAAATATGCAAATCTAACATATTTGCATTTTGCAGTCTCGTGTAATGCAAACATTTTCTTCGGGCATCTTGGCTGTGTTGACACAAGGAATTTAAGACTGGTTGTTAGCCCAAGAACAAATATACGCACACAAACAAAGGTAAGCCAAGACAACAAAGTTAAACAAAGACAAGCAAACATGAACAATAGCTGCATCCGTGGCCAGAAGTCAAAAATGTCTGTTAAAGTGGTTTGGTCCCACATCTTACAAAACGGTAGATCTAACAGTATCAGTTAAATAGCTAAGGAGCTGTGCCAGTAGTAGTTGCTACTAGCAATGAAATATAATCAGCAAATAAATTATAATGTATTACAATAAGTTTAGATACTATATTGATCACCTGGTAAAATTCACAAGCTGCCTGGCAGATTAAATAAAATAAGCCCCACTTTTACCAGCTGCTACACTTCAGTAATGTACATATTAAAATTCAATATTTTAACGTCCATTATTTGAAATGGGCCATCCTGCAAATGACTAATTGTAATTTTGGTACTTTAAGTATATTTGGATGCCTGCGATCCATCCATCCATCCATCCATCCATCCATCCACACCTGCTTATCCGGGGCCAGGTTGCAGGGGCAGCAGGCCAAGCAAAGCACTCCAGACGTCCCTCTCCCCAGCAATGCGTTCCAGCTCCTCCTGGGGGACTCCAAGGTGTTCCCAGGCCAGATGAGATATGTAATCCCTCCAACATGTTCTGGATCTGCCAGGGGGCCTCCTACCAGTGGGACATGCCCGGAACACCTCTAATGGGAGGCACCCAGGAGGCATCCTGATCAGATGCCCAAACCACCTCAACTGACTCCTTTTGATGCAAAGGAGCAGTGACTCCACTCCGAGCTCCCTCCGGATGTCTGATCTCCTTACCCTCCTCTCTCCTAACCCGGAGGGAACAATCCACTGGTTTCCAGCAGAGAACCATGGCCTGAGATTTAGAGGTGCTGACTCTCATCCCGACAGCTTCACACTTGGCTGCAAACCACCCCAGTGCATGTTGGAGGTCACAGTATGATGAAGCCAATAGAATCACATCATCTGCAAAAAGCTGAGATGCAATTCTGAGGTCCCCAAACCGGACCCCTTCCTCCCCCTGGCTGTGCCTCGAGATCCTGTCCATGAATATCATAAACAGGATCTGTGACAAGGGGCAACCCTGGCGGAAGCCAAAACCCACCCAGAATGTGTGTGACTTTACGCCAAGTATGCAGATCTGGATTTGGATGCTAATACGTTTGTATTTTCACTTAAATTAAAAAAATTTGAATGCAAGACTTTTACTTGTAACACAGTATTTCTACACTGTGGTATTGCTACTTTCACCTGAGTAAAAGATCTGAGTACTTCTTTCACCACTGATGCTCTGTTAGTACAGTTGGGGAAGTGCTGGTGTGGTGTATTGCTAGCCTAGATTCAGACTCCTGCGTCACTGTCCACATTGCCAGTATTTTCAGTGATTCAAACAGATCTGATGTTGCGTTCAATGACATCTGTTTGGCAGGTTAGAGAAACAGCCAAGCAAATCAGAGCTTTGTTGGTGGGTGAAAACAAAATGGCAACTCCATATGATTATCAGGCTGGTGTTTTGCCACAGTCAATTCTCAGAGCAATGATGATAATGATGATGATGATGATGATGATATGGCACAAAGTTAAACAACAGTATGTGAAGGAAGTGTTAAGGAGCAGCTTCTCAATAGACACAAGGGAGAGGGATTATTTCAGTGAGGCAGGATTTAGAAGATCACCCACTCCCTCCCTCACACACAAACAAAAATACAAAGACAGACTTGTCTGTGCTTTCCTGTACTTTCCCCAACCTGAATCCAAAACTCAGCTCCGACCTCAATCCCAAACTGTCAAACCAACATTGTTATTTGTGGCAAAGACAACTACACTTCAGCTCTTTCATCCTCACAAGCGTAGAAGTGGAATCATGCATAGATGTCAACACACACATTATACATGTTGGGATTGCCTGTTTGTGTTTAGGAATGTTGATGATGTGAAAGACTGAGATTATCCAGAGAGCCAGCTCGCACTCTATTTATTGCCTGAAATCATTTGCAGAGACGCATGGCTTATTTTGTATGTCATGTCAGATTTACAGTCTTTTGTCTGGTGGAACGCAACAGGCTGTAAAAAAGGGTGGACACAGAGGGAAGAGTGAAGTAGATCAGATACACATCCGACATTTGGGTCACATTTTCACTGTAAAATATAATATATGGTGACTACATGCTTCAACATTCAGAGCTGCTGTTGAAACGATTTATATGGTTTTATGTTGCATTTTGGTCCTATTAATTGAAATGTCACAATATTAATACTAATGTTTCACCTCAGACAGTCTAAGATTCACAGATAAAGTACTGAAATGTTGTAGATTCATTCACATTTTCTCTTTTATTTACTGACCTGTTTACTTGGAAAACAAGACTAAGGGTGCTATCTTACACCTGGCATGAAGCACAGTGCAACTGTCATTGCTAGTTTCATCGCAGATATCATTTTCATGGCCAGTGTCTAAAATGCACTTGCACCAATCTGTGCGCCCATGGGCGTGTAGATCTTAATATGAGCTGTGGTCAGGTGCATTGTTATCATACTGCTCTTTTGAGGCAACAGAATGTGATTGTACCATTGACCATCTAAAACCTGGTCTAAAGTCATGAGCGCAGTATTTTCCTGCTGTTTAAAGGGCACATTATTCAGATAGTAAGATGCACCTCACAACGCACATGCACTCTGCTTGTTGCACACACAGGGTTACGGTGATGGGTTGATGCAGGTGGATGAAATAATACATCATTAATGAGGAAAATATTAAAGGCATTCTGTGACCATAGCAGAAAACAGAGCAGAGCTGCTGTCTGACTCCTGATTATGAGAGACACTGTGTGTATTTACACACGAGGAGCAGCGTAACTTCATTCATTGTTTCAGAAGCTAAAAGTTTAGTTCTGTTTCCTTTGTCAAGTTTTTATACCTACAGATTTTAGATTTGCTGCTTAAATATCCCACGTTATAAGCTTGATCTCTCACTCAGATCTCATCACATACTGACATTTGGTCATGGACTTTCCACATCCAGAAAGTCCACCAAAAACAGGACACAGGACAGGACAGGACACCACTCTCCTGGGTGAAGGTCAGTGTTTGTTGGGACCATCCACCACCCCCTCTGCCTGCCCCACTCAGGCTTTTAGTGCCTTAACTTTCATTTTTGTCCTGCTGTATTTCCTATATACTATAATGGCGACCGGCTGCATATCATGTCAATGTTAAAGGACGGCTTTTTTCATCAGTGTCTGGCGCTGCAAGTCACTGCCCAAGTGCCAGATTTCAATAACTTCAGAGTGAAACCGATTTGATTACTCTCTGCAGAAACCTGCTCACCTATCCAATTTGTCAAAATTCTCCATGTGCAGGTGCAGGCACACCTGGTTTTAAAGGGAATTGAAGAAGACACTCTTGATTTGTTGAATTCCTGTTGTGCCCAAAACACACCTTTGATTAGTTAAGGGAC